GACAATCCCTGATCAATATATTTTTTTTATTTGTACTCTATATATTTCAAATAACATAAAATATTAGGTCGGCTTTATTAAATGAACACGTTCATGATGTTTGTATACTTTATTACATAAAATGCTACGATATTAGAGCTTTCAAATTCCCTTTGGTATGTCTACAAATGACAAATACTTCCGTCACTAGCTAATAGTGTCACAGTTAAATTTTTCAAAGGGTTTATTTTTTTTTCCTATAAGAGGATGCATGTGGTTTCTTTCTTGACTTGGCCACCACATCAGTAAGCCGCAGGAAAATGTGAAATTAAACATACCTACCTGACTCAAGTCTTCTCTAGTGACGAGCCAAGCCAGGAAAATCCTCCCCCGCCCCGCGTACGCTTGTTGACCAGACCGCCATGCCGTTTCCTTCACCGCTTTGAACTAAAACAATAGAAGCTTCTCCCCCTCTCCACTTTCGTCAAATTCGTCCCAACTTTTCTATACTAATTAATTCAAAACCCCTCCTCCCATATACTAATAAACCCATTTCTGACCACATCTCTCAAACGAAAACAAAGAAAGAACCCAAAAAAATGGTTTCCCGTTACCGCTCTTTCTTCTCCTCATCCCTCCTCCTACTACTCTTCGTGATCATCTCCGTTTCAGCACAAGACGACAACGACCCAGACCAGAGGTACCAAGACTGCGCCCGCCAGTTCGACTGCGGCGACATCCAAGCCGCCTACCCTTTCTGGGGCGGCGACCGCCCCATCCACTGCGGCGGCCTCCCGGAGCTCAGCCTCACCTGCAACTCCACCACCCAAACCACGTTCATCACCGTCCTCGACCTCACTTATCAGGTCCTCCGGGTCGACACCGCCAACCGGATCCTAACCGTGGTCCGAACCGACTACCAGCGCGGTCTCTGCCCCGCGGATCCCTCCAACACCACCGTCGAATCCACCCCGTTCTCCCTCGCGCCGGACACCCAGCTCGTCACGCTCTACTATGGCTGCTCGCTGCTGGGGAACGGGATCCAGGTACTAGAGTATGGATAGTACGAGTAGTATATTATGTTATATTGCGAGTTATTATTATCTAATTTGATAGAGTTATGTTTCTTATAAAAGTTAGAAGTTAGATTAGAATTATTATTACAAGTTAGTAACTTTATATAATTTTAATTAGAGTAATTATTAGCTTCAAAATTGGTTGGACGCAGAAGCTCCAACTGTTCACATCTGTGTCCAACCAAGATCGGAGCTAATAGTTTTTCTTTTAATAATTCGACACAATTATTTCCATCGTATTTGATTTGTCAAAACACCAGGCACCCGCGAGTTTGGGGCGGTTCGATTGCAGCAGCGGCAGCGGCAATTCAGGAGATTACTTCGTGACGAGCGAGGACGTGGCGGGGTCCTACGAGGCCGCGATCAGGACTTTGCTGGGCAGGTGCGGGATGAGGGTGACGGTTCCGGCGAACCGGACGGCGATGGCGGGGCTGGAGGCGTCGCCGACGGCGGAGAGGCTGGAGGCGGCGATTGGGGAAGGGTTTGGGGCGAGGTGGACGGCGAATGACAGTCTGTGCGCCACGTGTCAGGCGTCGGGCGGGCAGTGCGGGTCCAACGAGGGGTCGTTTACTTGCTTTTGTATGGATCGGCCGTACGATTTGGAATGTCGTGGAGGTACGCATTCTTTTTTTCTTTCTTTTTAACTCGTTTCCTTCCGGTTCGTTTTCTGGGACGCGTGATTGGGAAATGAAACGTTTCGTTTAACTCGTTTCTCGGGGCGCGATCATGCTTGGTTTGGGGGACTAGTGGGTGGGCTTTTTTGTTTTCATACACCACAGTTGGTGGGCTTTGAATGGCGCACCATTTGGGCCGACCGAATTTAATGCGACAAATCAGGATAGCGGATAGGAAAACTCTCCTAGCAAAACCGTAAAAATCTAGCAAAATCAAGGTTGTTGGTGTATTGTCTAACGCCTAATTCACTTAGGCATCGTCTAATTGTATTTAGACGTTGGAAAGCAAAATTAGTCATCTATACTTTATAAATGAATACCAATTTACAACTCCCTATTTTAGTTCAAATGATAAATAATTTACTTAACAATTAACAACATGAAAAATAGCTTATAAGTTTATATAATCATAGTTCAATAGCTCATAAAGTCCTTGAGCTATTGAAACTAATGATATAGATCATCGAGTTTGTAGATTATGTTGATTTCCCGCTTTTGATATTGACTACTTAGCTCACTTTAAATATGTCTAGAAAACCCCCCAGGTGCCTATTTACTCCCCGACATGTTCTTGATTCCTAAGTGATTGTAGAACTACCAGACGAGGCATTTAGGTGTTGCCTAGCGTAAATTGAATCACGTTTTCTTGAACTATGAGCAAAATAGTGATTTGAATTCATTTTTTCTCTAAAAAGAAAATAATAATATGAAAACACTAGTGTGAGAGTTGAGTATGAGAGAGTTCATTTCTCTGTTTCAACGGCTGCAATCAAAACCTCAGAAGCACCCATTTCTCCCGAGCCATCGATCAAGTCAAATTGTGTGCCCTATTTTACCAGTTTTTTACGCAGTAGATACCTGAATTTTACTGGCAGCGGAAGGTGTTTTCCCTCCTCGTCAAATCAAAAAGAGCATATATTTTGGAATACATTTCAAAAGTCAAAACACGTAAATTGTGTTTTCTTTTTTTAATGAAATTTTTTATTTTACTATTGTGAGCCGATGCTCCAGACATGTTTTCCAAAATTTCCTTCTTTTCCACGGTTATACAGCAATTTGCGGTTCCGCCTAACGAGGGTTGGGGCCCTTTTGTTTTGGGCTCTAGTAGCCCGGGAAGTGCTTGTCATGTGAAACCACTAAGCCCAATAACTATCATCATTATTATTTTTTTGTCACCATTAGTTTGTTTAAAAATGAACTATTTAACCAAAGGTAAGATAGTATAACGGTAAAGCTACCGCGACAATGAATAATTGGGAGTTGTAGATCCTAGATTCGAATCCAAGCGAGGCTCGTTGGTGTTCCCGAAGGTACAAGGCTGCTGGGGGCGAAGCCTCGTTGGCATTGCATTTGATTGCAGGTGCTCCTATGTTTAGTAGGATCCGCTGTCACAAAGTGGCACGTGGGACTGAGGTTCTCTTTAAAAAAAAGAAAAAACTATTTAAGATTTTTCCAGTCTCTTTCCTCTTCACATTTTAGTAAACTACCATACCAGTATGTCACGATATTAATATGTACGAAGTTTCATATATCGTTTTAACATATTAATACATTCAAAAGTTTGACATTAGTTAGAAAATAGTTTCAATTTAAAAATGAATATAATTATAAAAACTTAAAATAATCAATTGAATTTCTTAATATACATGTATTAAACATATTGTACATATTTTATATGTCAATCAAACAAACGAAGACAAAAAAACTGAAACGATTCTACAATAATACGGAAAGTCATATTAAGTATGTATACGCAACAATACGAGTTTAAACTAATGGTTACCAACCATTAGAGGTGGCAAATGGATTGGATTGGTGGATCCATGGATCAAATGGATTGGATCTAATGGATTGGTGGATTCATGGATTGGATCAAGTGGATTGGTGGATTATCCATGAATCCAAATGACATCCTCAACCAAGGACCAATATGTAAAATGTAAAAAGTTTAGGTACTAAAATGTCATAATGAAAAATTTTAGGTACCAAAACGTAATTTTCCAATAATATTTTTCGTATAAAAAAATAAATTTTAGGTACCAAAATGTAAAAAATAAAAATTATAGGTACTAACCCGTAATTTGCCAATGATCCATGGATCCAATCCATGAATCCACCAATCCAATTGGATTTGGATAAAATGGATTGGATTTAAATGGATTGGATTAGGTGGATATTTTTAATGGATTGATGGATTGGATTGAAATTGCCACCTCTACCAACCATGCATGAAACTAGAGCTCACTTTTAGTATTTACATTTCATTTCAATGCGTTTAAAATTAAAAGGTTCTCAATACTATAATTCTAGAAGGTGAAAACTAAAAACAAACTAATGACAAGAACCTCTCTATCTTCTCCCAACTACTGCCATGGAAAATGCAAGCAACCTCATGAACACACATTTTCATGCCTCGACGTGACGACGACCCCTCCTCCCCTGAGTCTTCTATTTCCAGAAGTGAGATTCTTTCTAACAAGTTAGTTGTCGTTCACCAAACACTAAAAAAAGAGTATTTTACTCCTAAATCGGCCAAAAGTCCTTTTCACATTTTTGTATAACGATTAACGAGTCTTAGGATAAGCAATATAGAAAGGCAGCCCTCATGGCCTCCTTGCAAGATTTTAAACTTAGAAAAATAAATAAAAGAAAACCAAATCGGGTTTATAAAAGTAATATCTTGAAAAAACTAGTAAACCACTCTCCAATATTTTAATCAAGACGTTTGAACTAACCTCCTTGGCTTCTTACCCAGTCAGTCCACCAATAAGACAAGGATTAGAGATGAGAGAGAAAATACAAGACGTAGATGACAATTTATTGTATTGACTTAGATTTATCTCAACATCTATTTTTATCATGGGAAATAATTATTTTTAAAAAAATAATATATAAGAATAGGTCGACATGTCCTGACGTGAATTCACATTGGTATTATCGGAACCTTATCCGTGCTTGATGCAGAACGAGTATGAGTATTGAGGTATCTGCTCGCCCTCCCCATTGCCATCAGTTATCACAAATGTTCTACACTAGCAGCGGCATAGCCAAGAATCTCGATGAGGGGGGCTGACTTGATCCGTGATCATCCGGGGAGAGGGGAGGGGGGGGGCTAAGGCCTTACTGACTACTCTATTACATAAATCCGTTACAACTTTTGCACGTAATATTATCTATATTTCAAATTTGAATAGGGCTATAACTTCTCATAGTTTTAAGTTTTAACCTAACCTTATCCACTATACACTAACAACGATATTGTACGTTTAAACTGCGCAATTATAAAATTGCGTGAAAACATAAATTATGTACGTGAATAATGAAACTTGGAAAATTTCTCTAATAATGAACCTAAACTGTAAATTAATTAGTAGTCCCCATCAGCCTAACACAGAGCAAAGTCCAAGTCAACCCTCCTTTGCCAACCCATTGCAAGAAAGACTTCCATTTCCCACCAACTCTCCCCTGTTTTTCCCTTCTCTTCCTTCTTTCCCCTTCTCAATCCCCATGACCATTTCGCAGCTTCCATCGCAGCAACAATGTACCTTCTACCACTCTTCCTCTTCCTCTCCCTCTTCGCCTCCTTCGCCGCCGCATTGTTACCGCTCGACGGCAGCCTCACCGGATGCAACGAGTCCTTCTCCTGCGGCACCACCATCACCAACATCGAGTTCCCTTTCACCGGCGGTCGGCGCCCTCACTACTGCGGCTTGCCCGGATTCAACCTAACATGCCTCGACAATTCAATCACCCTCATCACCATCAACTCAATTTCATACAGAGTCCTCCGCATCGACGAGTCCCGACCCACCATGACCCTCTCCCGCTCCGACCTCCACGACACCGCCGGCTGCACCCGGGACGTCCAGAACACCACCCTCGCCGGATCCAACTTCACCGCCGCCGCCAACACCGAAACCCTAACCCTCTTCTACAATTGCAATTACACCTCCTCTGGCTACGGCGACTACAACCCTCCGAACCTCTTCACTTGTAATCTGGGGGGAGAGAGCGAGGCCGAGTTTTATCTGGCCGGCGAGGTCGCCGACGATGTCAGCAGCATGCTTCGCTCTCGATGCAACACTTCGTTTACCGTCCCCATTTCCGACGCTTATGCTGGGGTGATGGCGAATGGGTCGTTGCTTTCCCCTGCTTTGAGAGCTGGGTTCGATGTGAATTATAACGATTCGTATTGGGATGATTGTTTTCGGTGTTATGAGGAGAATCACGGAGCGTGTGGGTTCGATTCTGATTCTGGGAACTCGATTTGTATCTGTGGCGATCGGCTGTGTCCAGGTAGGTGTACATAAATCATGGCGGTTCTTTAACCGGGGAAAAAACAGAGGACTCTGTTTTTCCCCTGTTTCCCAGGGGGACTACTTCTCCATGAACACTGAACCGATTCATGGCAAAATGTTTGATCTGAATTCATATTCTCAACTGATGTTTCTGACGTATGATTCTTTTTTTTTTTCTTCTGCAGAACGTAAATCGAACAAAACAACAGTTGCGATCGGTACGATTGCTTTCAAATCTGAACTAGTACAGGTTGCTTGTAACATCAAAGTTTCTCTGGGTATTCTTATGCCTGCTTCGATTTTAATTTGTACAGGAGCATCGGCAGGAGCTGTGGCTGTTCTTGCAGGGATCAGCCTGTGTTTCTGGCTGTTTGTCAGACAGAGGAGGATAAAAAAAGCAGCACAAATTATGAGCAAAGATCTCTCCACGCCTCCATCTTCTGCAACGAAAGGAAGGACTACTCCTACCACCAATTACTCCATGACCACTTCTTCCTACAACACCACCACCACAGGATCCGGCAGCGTGAGAGGAGGCGGCGGCAGCACCTACTTCGGCGTCCAGGTCTTTAGTTTCGACGAACTCGAGGAAGCCACGGAGAACTTCGACCGATCCAAGGAGCTCGGCGACGGCGGCTTCGGCACCGTCTATTACGGTGAGTCAATAATGAGATCCTGCTCTGACAAATAGATTGAATTGATGGGTTTGTGAATTTTTGGAATTTGAGCAAATGAATTAGCAGATTTATTGAATGGATCAAATGAATTGGTGGATTAGATTTATAAATCAAAGAAGTTTTAGTATTGAAATAATATGTAAATTTTGAATATTTTAGATACTAAAATGTCATGATAAAAAAATTCAGATACTGAAAAGTGATTTTACCTAAGAAATTAACATTTGGGTATGAAAATGTCATAATTATTTAACGGTATTTTGAATCAAATGTAGGATTTATGGATTGGTGGATCTATAGATCAAATGGATTGGATTGATTTATGAATTCAAATGACATCCAAATTTTGGACTAATATTTAAATTTTTAAAGATTAAGGTACTAAGATGTCATAATTAAAAATTATTGGTACCAAAAAATAATTTTACAATATTTTTGTATAAAAATAAAATTTAGTTACCAAAATGTAAAATATAAAAGTATATGTACTAATACGTAATTTGTCATTTGGATTCATGGATTGGTTCATGAATCCACCAACACAATTAGATTTGAATAAAATGGATTGGATTTGCCGATCCGGTGGATAATTTGATGTATGGATTAGATTGGAGTGGTCTTAACATTTGACCAATATGTAAATTTTCAAAAATTTAGATATTTTATTAACATTTAGGTATCAAAATTGTAAAATGTGTATTCTTGACTGATTCGAAAACCTTTTCGACACATTCTCAGGGCTGCTGTACGACGGGCGAGCGGTGGCCGTGAAGCGGCTGTACGAGAACAACATGAGAAGAGCCGAGCAGTTCATGAACGAGATCGAGATCCTCGCGAAGCTCCGCCACAAGAACCTCGTGACGCTCTACGGCTGCACCTCGCGCCACAGCAGGGAGCTCCTCTTGGTCTACGAGTACATCTCCAACGGCACCGTCGCGGACCACCTCCACGGCAGCCGCCGCCACTCCCCCGACTCCGACCTCTCCGCGTGGCGCGTGAGGATGAACATCGCGATCGAGACGGCTGACGCGCTCGCGTTCCTCCACGCGTCTGACGTCATCCACCGCGACGTCAAGACCACCAACATCCTCCTCGACGACGACTTCCACGTCAAGGTCGCGGACTTCGGGCTGTCCAGGCTGTTCCCCACGCACGTGACCCACGTGTCCACGGCCCCGCAGGGGACGCCGGGCTACGTGGACCCGGAGTACTACCAGTGCTACCAGCTCACCGACAAGAGCGACGTGTACAGCTTCGGCGTCGTGCTGATGGAGCTGGTCACGTCGCTCCAGGCGGTGGACACGTGTCGCCACCGCCACGACATCAATCTCGCCAACATGGCGGTGAGCAGGATACAGAATCAGCAGCTGGAGGAGATGGTGGACGCGTGTCTTGGGTTCGACAAGGATTACGCGGTGAGGAGGATGGTGACGTCGGTGGCGGCGCTGGCGTTCCGGTGTCTGCAGCAGGAGAGGGAGATGAGGCCGAGTATGAACGAGGTTTTGGCGACGTTGAGGAGGATTGAGAGGGAGAATGACGGTGGTGGGGACCAGAAGGCGGAGGTGGTGGACATTAACATTGCTGCCGATGATGATGTTGGGCTTTTGCAGAATGTTCCGCCGCCGGTGCTGTCGCCGGACTCCGTCGGGAATGACAAATGGGTGAGTTTCGTTTCGTTTCCATTCCATTCCTTTCCTTTCTTCTACTACTACTTACTCATAGCTCATGTTTTGCTTATAATTGTTTTTTACTGTTATTTGCAACTGAGCTCTCTCCACGTGGGTTGGTTTTTCGTTTGTGCAGCAAAAGGTGATGAGAACGGTATGATCCAGTTTTTTTTTTTCCTTCTTTCAGAGGATCATATTCATAGTGTTAATTAATGACTACTTATGTAATGAGTAATCCAGCTTGCCAATTTTTATTTTTAATTTTTATTGTAACAAGGAGTTACCAAGTTTTTATCTTTCCACCACCAACCCGTGGCCGGTTTGTATATAGTAGTACTACTGGAACTTAATTAATTAATTAGAGTTGGGTAGTGGGATATTTAGAAGCAAGCAGTAGCCACTTTTTGAAAGAATGCCCATGGATTACTCGATGGATGATGGTTCTATCATAATCCAGATTCGATTTGAACATAGAAAGTATAGATTCGCGTCGCTTACTTGTCGAAAGCAAAAATGGAATGTAAGTTTATGATAAAAATAAAGGCTTTCTTCTTGTTCGAGCTATGTCTGCTATTAGGAGCTCGTGTGCCGCTTTTTTGAAGATTGATTATCGTCTCACGCCATCTGTGCGGTTTCACATTTCCTCTTTCTGTGTCCTTTCGCTATTTACCCTTAATTACTTTCCCAGCTTTGAGTTCATTTCCTTTATTTTATTTGAGGGACCACATATTTTGAGTAATAAAAAACGTTTTCCAGACCATGAACTGTCGAAATTTGTGGAATTGAACGAACTATGTGGCACGATACGATAACCCAATCCTTAAATATTAAAAGTTAAGTATTAATTCTCTAAATTTTATACAACATTAAGACCAACTTAATTAACAATAGTAGTCGACGGTTCTAATTCGTCAAAAAACCTGCACCGTTCTTAGAGTTTAGGATTTATGATTTTGATGATTAGGACCTGGTGTTTACTTATTAAGAACTAGGGTATATTATCATATGTCTCAAAATCTGATTATTTCGACGTGGAAATAACTTTTTCTTATTCAACATATGTGTTACTCTCAAATTTAATTTACCCCGTACAATATAAGCCACGTATACTGATAGTTGGGTAGAAGCTGTTTTTTTTTTACAATGAGAAACTGTTTTTTATTCCAAAACCCAACAAGGGAAACCAGTTACATTCTTACAGCAGAGGAGAAATAAGATCGGCAATAATCAACCAATCAAGTGGGAGAGATCCCATCCGTTCATTACGTGCCACCCAATCAGCAAGCCCATTGAGACGTCGGGGAACAAACTCAATAGAGATCCATGGAGCCGAATGGAGGAGTGTAATGATACGTCCCAAGATCGGTCGACATTGCCAAGGCCAAAGGTCAGGAGCAAGCTTCAAGGCACTTGTCAGAATCTGGCAATCAGATCTGATGCAAGTCGAGCAAGCATCCCGAACCGCACACAGGACTGCATTAAGAATTACAAAAACTTCCACTTGAATAGGACAGGAACAAAAGACTTTCTCAGCCTTACCGTCCAAAACTTGACTATGGGCATTAGAAATCGTGATCCCATAAGCCGCCTTCTGTGAATCCGCACAAAACGAACCATCACAGTGAATTATCCTCTGGAAAGGATCTGGCGGTGGTGAATGTTATGCGTTTGTATATTAGTGGGCAGAAGCTGCTGCTGCTGCAGCCTGCAGGCTGGTGTTGGATCGTGTAATGTTATGCGTGTCCCTTTTTAAAAGCGGCAACTTCTGTACGTGCAGATCAAGGAATCGATGCCTTGACAAAATACACACATCCATCCATTTATATTATGTTAATTAGCTTGATGAGGCAATCCACTGGACTTAATCTTCATTTAGTTTACAATGCTCATTTTTTATCCAGTCTTGTTGCGCAATAAAAATAATAGTAAGCTTTAGGAGATAGTTGACAAATATCATGATCCAACAAAAATGAGCATTATTGTTTTCTTCTTTTACTTAATCTGCCTGCCACAAATCGTAACTTGTCTGTTTGTCTTTGGCTCCTTCCCTTTTGTGTTAGCATTTGGCACACATCCAACCATAGCACACATCCAACCATAGCCCCTCCTTTTTCCCGATTCCTTCTTTTTGTTTTTCTGTTCTTTCCAAGGAAAGAATGGTTCAATGGGGATAGACTGGGATGGCAATGGGTCGGGTTGGTTTGGGTTTTGCCAAACTCAAAACCAAACTTATGAGTTTATTCGTGAAAAAACTTGGGGTAAAACTCATTGGGTTTGAAAAACTCAAACCCAACCCGCTGGGTATCCGTGGGTTCATGGGTACCCACGGGTTTTTGTCGTAAAAAATTTACAATAACAAGTTCCTACCAAAATTAAAGTCAAATATCAATCTCTCAATACAAATTATCCATATATAATTAAAACACCATTCTAGAAAATTCAAGCAAATCACAAATCAACCTTACAAATTGTTCAACACCAATCTAGAAAACTCTTGAAAATTGAAGCAAATCACAAATTATCCATAAATAACATGATTAATTGAAAGCTTATTCCTTTCAATTAAGTTTCTTCACTCTCCACTCGATAACATCAACTTCATTCTACACAATTTGAAAGAAAAAATTAGACATGTTTCCACAAACATAAATAAGATTAGTTGTTTAGAATATTAAATATACCGAGAAAATTAACTATATGGGTGTGGGCGGGTACGGGGTACCCATGGGTCGGGTTTACCTAAACCCAAACCCAACCCAACCCGATAAATAGTAAACGGGTTTAAACCCAAACCCGACCCAAAACCCGTCAACACGGATTTTACCCACATTGATCAGGTTGGGTCGGGTGGGTACCCTTGGGTTCGGGTTTTGTTGTCATCCCTAGATAGACATCTGTAATAATAATAATAATAATAATAATAATAATAATAATAATAATAATAATGCACCAAGAAGATAAGCAAGTTGAATTGGGCGAAAAATAATATAGTTCTATTGTGATGAGGGCATGTCATCAATTGAATAATTCCTTTTGAATTATTGATAACCCAGCAGAATCAAACAAGTTGATAAAACCAGCATCATTGACCTTAAGCCAATGACTCACTTCTTCTTAGATTCCAGAATGTGGAGAAAACTAGAGTGATGAAGATCATATCTTGACAACCTTAGAGTTAGAGCATATAGATAGGGTTAGAGCATAATTGGGCATAACTAGGGGATTGAGCTTAATTATGAAAAAGATTGAAAGAGATTCAGAAGAGAATGTGTAGCTGCAGATTATCTTCTCTTTCAATTTCATCGCCCCTTTATATGCTGCATTGACTCTCTATTTGGTTGATTTAGGTGTGGTGCAACTTCAATTTCAACCCATCTTTTTTCATTCTTGCACACTTTAGACTATCATTTTGTTGGAAAAAGTTAATCTGTTAACTTGAAGATTCGTTAGCAGATACTAACTAATATCCAAAATACATGAACTAGTATCCAAGTACTAAAGTATCTAGAGAGCACAGACTAGTATTCAAAGTTTGCTAACTGATATCCACCATGAATCAACTATTATCCCAAATTCACAAACTAATATCTAGACAATATAGCACATAATTAGTATCCAGATAACACCTAAGAGTATCCAGATAACATATAAGAGTATCCATATTGAATACTAGTTGGTTGTTTGTGGATATTAGTTGGTATCTGCTATTTGGATACTAGTTTGTGATATTTTGAATACTAGTCTGTGCTATCTAGATATTCAGTAGACTTGGATATTAGTTCATACATTTTGAATATTAGTTAGTATATACTAACGAATTTTTTAGTTAGCAGAATAACTAGACTGCATTTTGTTTGTGATTAGCTTGTTTCATGCTAATAATAAAACATCTTGTTGTTTATCATGTTCTTATTGCCTCACAACTTGTGGATATGTTTACTAAAACCCAAAAAACCCAAATATTCCTCTTCCCACCCAATTTTCCCACCAAACCATAGTGGATGGTCTAAGCCCCTCTCCGCTCACTCCACTACTTTATATCCCCCTATTTTAATCCAACTCTGGACTTGTTAACGCTACCTTCATCTTGCGAAGGCGTATAAAAAATTTATCTTAATCTAACTCTTTGTATTCGTTAAACAATCATCCTTTTTAATTATGTAAACATCCCATGTAACCTCTATAAATACACTTGATGATAACCAAGGTTGTCAACCCGCGGGTCGACCCACTTTGACACTAGCATGGTGAGAAAAACGAGCTGCACGCACCCGTCGGGTCGATTACTACAAGGTCCCGGGTTGGAGGTCAAATTGTGTGTCTTTTTTTTTTGTTTGCGAAATGTGCTTATTTTTCGATTTTTCTTTTCGCCTAACTCAACCTTTGGAATCCTAAGTTGAACATTTGAATATTGATGTCATATAAGTGTGTGTGAATTTTCACTATATGTTGGATCTAAGTACGATATGTTATTTTGGTGGAATATTATATGTTATAACTCATATGTTAGATGAAATTTTATATAATTTATCAGGATAAGTACAATATAATGACTCTTTCCATATTTTCGGGCTAAACCAAGCTAAAACGGGTGACCCAATAACCTTTGACCCACTAGCTCTGCCGGATCTGGGTCAATCCGCGGGTTGACAACATTGATAACATACAACACACTACTTTCGTAGTATTGAAAAAAAAAACTTTAGGAAACAACAAAATGTCATTTTCTTTTGATCAATGAAAACAGAATGTCGTTTTCTAAAATGGTGTTTTGGAATTGGGAAAAACCTTTTCTTTGTGTTGGGACTCATACGATACAAAAGGCATCCCATCAGAGCAACCGTTCTGCGACTGCCACAGCCTGCCACGTGCAGAGCTGAAAGGCATTCTACCGGCCTTGGGGGCGTAAATACCCAAATACCCCTCTCCTCCTCCCCCTAATCCCTAATTCCAAATTCATCTTCATTCTTCATCCCCTGAATTCCAATCGCTTTCTATCCATCTCCATTACACGCTAATTGAATCCGCCCAATTTCGCTCCACCTTTCCATCCGCCGCCGCAGCAGCAGCTCAAAAGCAATCCGATTCCTGAATTCCCCCATCCGGTGATCATATCTTTCCTCCCTGATTCAAACAGCTCGATCCCCTCCTCTTCCCCCCCCCCCCCCCCCCCCCCCCCCCCCCCCCCCCCCCCCCCTTTCGCCTCGCGAGGAATCGACTCACACAATGGCGACGCTGCAGAAATTCAAGCATTTCGCCGCGCAGTGTGGAGCGGCGTCGACGGGGAACCCGACGCAGAGTCCAACCACCAGCCCGGTCGTCCACCTCCGCCGCCGCAGGACCCTCCGCATGCTCCTCTCTCGCGGCTCCCCCGCCGTCGACCACCACCGTCGAGCTACGGCGATGTTCGACGAGGGCCAGAAGCAGCGGCGGGATCTGCCGTCCGATTGTGAGAGGGCCAGAAGGAGATTGAAGGATCTGTTCGTCTCTTCTTCACCTCCGTTCGATGATGATAGGACCAAGAATCGGGGTCGCGACGGCGTCCGGATGCTGACTGCCGGCCCCGGTGAAAGTGACGACGGCGCTAGCGATCGCGGTGTTGGGAGCAATGGTAATTATACTAGTAGTGGCTTTGGTCGCGGTTTCTCCGGTCGTCGGAGAGGGCTCAGACAGGGTGCGGCGTCGTTTCGGTGTAGGTTACTGAGGAGAGCTTGGCGGCCTGTACTGGTCACTATTCCAGAATAGTCAGCCAGCCAGCCACTAGATTAGTAATTTTTTTTTTCCGTCGTTGAAAACTTGAAATCTGTACGTATAATGAAATGGAACGTATTTCATTTTCTGAAATTTTTGTCTCCCCAATTTTCGTAGGCTGAGATAATTAGATTTTGTTAACCCCTAATTTTGGATAGAGAAAGAGATTGGATACATGGTTGGAACCAAACCGGAGCTTATTTTGATTCGTCCCGCCCAATGGTTTGGTTTCTTGTTTAATCGAATTTGGTTGAGCCGTCGAGTCGGGCTAAAAGTGTGTTTAGTTTGATATAGTTCGACCTTGATGAAGATTTCAAATTTGAATTCACTAGTTTTCCTCAAGGAAACTAGTCACGTACACGGATTTGGAGGATTTGACTCTTTAAAAATTATGGGAATTTGAATCGGTTTTGATGGAAGCAAAAGGTTTGACTTTTGTTCATTGTAATTGGAAATACGAGTAGATTGTTGAACTACTGGTAAGTGGGTGAATTTGGGTTGATTCGATATTTTTTTGGGTGGAGAGTCATGCCGACGTTAGTGTGCGTAACTATCCCCATAACGGCCAATTACTTCCGTCGGCTCGCTCAACTCAACAATGAGCCGTAAAATTCGGTGATGCGCCAAGGAGTAATATATTATTGGTTTGAACAACGCTAGTGTACCGTTTCTTTAATGATTACAGGGCCTTGGAAGAATGGCGATCTTGTACTTGTATGGATGTTGTGAAACCGGTTTATACTTTTAGGATGGTTTGACAATTGGGATTGTTCGATTAGTGGTATGACAAGTTTACGTTGATTTTAGCAAAATAACTAGACAAGTAAGAAATTATTAATACTAACAGAAATTAGACAATTTTTATAAAATCAACATCCATACATGAAAAAAATACTTATATTTCAAACAAAATGAAAATCATCAAAACCTTGAATCCCAATATCCAAATATCCAGACCTTTATAGTTTATACTTGAGTCCAATTGAACCCAATTGCAGACATGACAACCATGAGCCAGTTTCGTGTCATTTTGCTCTTTGGAGCTTTCTTAGAGCTGCTCATCTCGTGGCATAACAGGCTCTTTTATCGGGAGTCCGGTTGCATACGGACTACCGTTCTTTATTATTATCTGTCTTATATGTTTGTTGTCCGGCCATGCCCTGGGGCTTATCTTGGATAAAAAAAAAAACATGAGTTGTACGATTGAGATCATTGGTGAATCCCCATTAATATATGGTAGAGTTTTGTGTAATTTTCTCTATTTCAAATTTTCTGTAACGAGAGTGAAAGTAGGAAGGACATTTTTGTCTTTACAATTATTTATTTATTTCAAATAAAAAATATCAATATCAAGATTTGAACCCAAGTCTCTTGAAACACGGACAACAATCTAACCAACTACACTAAATGAATTTGTTGTTTCTATTTGATATAAAACATACACTAAACTCTCGAAAGTTAATGACTTTTACATCATGAACAACAAGCCCACTAAGTCTATCATATTTATTTTTATGGTGCTTAATACTTCAATTTCCATAGTAGAGTTTCATGTAATTTTATCCATTTTAAAATTCATGCTGTTTAGAGCCTGGAATAAAATATATACAACAAAGACATTCAAATTCATGTATTATGCCCCATTATAAACCACACCAGCCATAGGTTTAAGACACCACAATGATTTTGCAATGATGTTTCATAATTTAAAATACTACCGTTGATTGAAAATTTAATAACTTATATATATTTATGGCAAAGGCTAGCATGCGTCTGACATATTATTTATTTATTTCAAATAAAAAATATCAATATAAAGATTTGAACCCATGTCTCTTCAAACACGGACAACAATCATAACCAACTACACTAAACGAATTTGTTATTTTTATTGATACAAAACATACACTAAACTCTAGAAAGTTAATGACTTTTACATCATGATCAACAAGCCCACTAAGTCTACCATATTTATTTTTATGGTGCTTAATACTTCAATTTCCATAGTAGAGTTTCATGTAATTTTATCCATTTTAAAATTCATGCTCTCCTTAATTTTTGCTTAGGTAAATTTGTAATTGGCTAACATGGAAGAAACTATTTCTTTTACTACGTGTTGCGTCATTGTATTTTTCAATTTAAAATTAAATGTTGTGCTTTTTTGTCTTTGTTCTTATCTCTTTATAACTTCCTCCAAAAGTCCCTCCATCGTGCAATAATTTGGCCATTTCACTTCCCAGTACAAGAACGCATTTGAAAATTAATCTTCCGATTTCTCTTGGTACGACAGTTTTATTTTTGGGATTTAAACTAGGCAAATAGAAAATTTCAAATCCGATATCAATCCATGTAGAATAGAATCAAGTAGTTATGAATTTAAACTTGGAGTAGAAGAGTTGGAATTGAGTTTGAGAATGGAAGTGGTGGGGGGGGGGGGGGGGGGAAGAAATTGTGTTTGAATTTGGTAGTAGGTAAAGTTCCACTGCAACAGGTCAAGGCAGAGAAGAGGGAGTTGGAGAGGGTAGTGAATGAATTGAGGTGGGTGTTGAAAGACATGGAAGAAAAACTGGAGCAGTTAAAGAGAGAGAAGTGAGAGATGATGAGGATAATAATGAAAATGGAGAGGTTATGGAAGGACATGGAAGTGGACTAAAGCAGGTGAAGGCAGTCAATGGGGAGATGAACATATTAATGGAATTGAAGATGAGTGTTGGTTTTAGCGAACTTATTACAAGTGCCCCGAGGAAATGAAGTTGTTTAATTGAAACATATGCCTCTTGAGATTAAAGATAGAGTGGATAAAAATTTGGTCGTTCAACGGAGAGTGGTGGCTATTGGCTCTTTAGGTTCATGGTTTTTGCAGCTACCACAACCTATTTATATGTTAAACGAGAAATCATTGATTTACTGAATTAAGTCGATTCTTTATTCAACCTACTGAAACTTATAGAAAAGTAGTGTCTAATTTTATGTCTTATGACTTTGATCAAGTCTATTAGTATATTGGAGATAACCCTAATTTTGTCGTTTGCTCTCAAGTTTTGATGGTTCCCTCTTAGTTTAGTTTGTAGTATATAATTGACTTGAACCAACAACTCTCAATTTCTTTTTTATTAGTGGCATGTTGTTCCTAAAAGAAGAGCATTGAAGCCTTTATGTAGGATTGTGAGGTTTTAGATTCAGTTTCAAACTATATATGGGCCGTGTGGTAATTCCAGTGAGCTTTTATATTCTATCTTTCTTGACAATTAACTAACCAATATAAAATTATCATTATGAAAATGAAAATGAAAATGAAATCAATGATACATTTTTATATTTTATATTCTTAAAAGATGATGGTATTTCTTCGAGTGTTCAACCTATATATTATTTCTTTATGTATCATCTAATTCGAAAGATTATCAAAAAAATTAAACAGGTTGATAGACTTAAACTTAACATAAAATTATAAAATAATCAAATATGAACATTTCGGCCAACGGGCCGAGTTATAAGCTAGTTTCAATAAGAGAATTTTGTTTATGTGAGTTTGGTATCTCTACTGGGGCATTGCATTATTCGGAATTTTTTTTTCTAATAAGTCATCACTTGCCAAAAGTTATAATAATTGTTAGGAAATTATCTATAGGATAACAACAGGTTTGGTCGAGGTCAGATAGTTGAGCACTTCTACTATGTTCTAAAGTATGGGTGCTTTAATGTACAAATTGAAGTTGTACCATAATATTAAATGTATAAGTTTAGGTTGTACCATTATGTTATGGTACAACTTTACAACTTGAAGTTGTACCATCACATAAATGTATAAGTTCAACTTGTACCATGAAAGAATTTGTACAAAAGAGTATAGGTACAATCTAAAGTTATACTATAAAGGTAAAGGTATAACTTGAAATTATACCATAAAGGTAAAAACCTATAGCACCAATGCTATATAGCATAGTAAAATTCCTCCAGATAGTTAGGAAATTATCTATAGTATAACAACCGGTTTGGTCGAGGTTAGATAGTGCATATCTATTATCCTACCTGTTTGTGTCTAGTAAATACTAGGCGGTTTGCGGGACAGTGGCGATGCGTCTGTTCATGGAAGGAGGGTGTACTCCAGATCCCTGCAAAACAAGGGTCCGTGGGCGGTTGCCCAGGACACTCTCCAATGCTTAAGTTAGATAGAGAAGTGTGCAGTAATGTGTTTGTTCTAGAGAGAGAGAGTAGTTGAGTTTACCATCAATGCTCTCAAGGTGCATTTGTGGTGGTGGTTGAGTCATTTAATGTTACGTCAGGCGTCCCTGACAGGCCTGCTCCCTAGGTGGACCGCCGGCGGCGGGCAATAAATGCTCAGTCTTACCCAGCCTGAGGTACATATCTCAACAGATCTTTGCTTTCTGTCATGGTTAGTCACTTTATGTCAGGCGGTTCTGGACACTCCTTGGGTTTGGAGTTGGCCGAGGACCGCGTGTCATCCTAGTCTCCGTGACCAGGCCGGATACTCTATTGGGCCCAGTCCGCTGTCCCTCGCCTCTTGGGCCCGAGGCCCATGACCGCTCAACTACGTGGTCCAACACTACCCAAAATAGTTAAGATTTTACCTGTATTCAGTCTTATACAATAATTGAGTAAAATATCAAAACCATACCCATACTTGATCGGGTTTTGAGTATCCACGGTTAATTATGGATAATAGTTTCTATTATAGCTTTCACCAACATGTTAAACATTTCACATATACTGACATTGTATTAGTGAAAAATTAAAACAATGAGTTACTAAAATGAAAAAGTGAAAAATTATATAATTTCATGAAAATATTATATATGTATGATAAATATAAAATAAGTTGAGAAAAATAATGATTCATTTTAAACAAAATACATGTGTACAATTACAATCGAGCATATTTGGGTTAGATAGTGAGAAAACCATACTCATCCATCACCCCGTAATATTTGAGTTCATGTATTACCCATACCCATTAAAAATTTCTATTTAAACCCATCCGATTAGGTTGAATTCGGGCGGGTATCACGGGTATAGTTATTTTGTCATCCCTAAATATCTAGATTCACTAGATCATAACTTCTTAGCATCACAAAATGTCAAGGTAAATCCTGCAAAGTGCAAAGTAAAGAAGTGGACACTCACTCACGAAACACTAATTTGGGCATGCATAGAGTAGTAGCCGGCCCATCACCATCAATTCAAAATGGGACGGTGTGGAAATGATGACAGTGATTAACACCTGATGGCGAAAAGCCATACATCTGATCATTATCATGCTCTTTGAAAAATTATTTCCTGGCTATAGTTCAGTCATTCTTCAAACTTATTTTATTGCTAGGGTTTCGCGTCATTATTATATTGAAGGATTGAAAAATCGTATTGTATTGGTGGTTCGATCAGATTAACTTTTTACTGGAAGTGAAATAGGTTGACGGTATTTAGCGGTATGAAACGATTGAATCATGATTAAACCACGATCTTAGCATAGATTAAAATACCCTACTGTTGACTTTTTTGGTAAAACGTCTAGTACGATTTTCAATCATTTTTTTAAAAATTTTAACACAATTCACAAGCCTACTAAGCAGTGGCGTAGCCAGAAATTTATCTAAGGTAGGTCAAGCGTGAAAAAAAAAAACATAAGTTCAAGGATATGTTCATGTTTTGAAAATTAAAATACATTCATTATGCAAATTTTGAGGGTGTTAAGATACCACAACGAAAAATCGTTCATGATTCCAAAAATCATCTCATTCTGAAGTGTTTCTTCACTTTGTTGATTGCACTAAGTGCTCTTTCACCACTTGTAATAAAAACTTATAGCAACAACTACTTCGAGCTTTTGTATATATTAAACTCACTTTACACAAAATATGAATTAAAAGTAAAATATAGATCACAAAACATTACTTTTTCGTAAAATTATCTACGATAATATGAAGATTTTGTATTCAATCTACAATCATATAGACTAATTTACTTATACATTTTTTTTGGGTCAAGGTGGCGCAAAAGACCCACCTTGGCCTTGAGTGCCACTGCTACTAAGGATTGTTTGTAAGAATATAAAATTGGGTGAATGCCATGATTGGTCACTGAGATTACTAAAAAAATGTCAAGTTTGGTCACTAAAAATACTTTATTCCATTAGTGATCACTAAAATTACTAAAAATGTCAAGTTTGGTCACTATCCGTCCAACTCCATTAACTTTTACTTATGTGGCAATTCAACTCTTTAAGTTGACCGTTAAATATATGACGTGACAATTAAAAAATTAAAAATTTCCACCTTATCATTTTCATTATGGGTGGCTATACGGTCCGGTCCGGTTAAATTGGACCAAATTGATCCTGTCCCAGTTCGGTCTTTTCGGGAATATAACGACCAAAGATTGGATTGGATACATTTTGGTCTTGATCCGGTCCGGTCTTGACCCGATCCGGTCCCAATTTTATCTTGATTTTAGGTGTTGGGGGTCTCTTATCCGGTCTTTATCCGGTTTTTTACCTCAAATCTAAGCCCGAATATGAGATTGCAATTTTTGCTATCCAGTCCCAGTCCGATCCCGGTCCGAGTTATACGGTCCGGTTTCGGGTAAAACCAAACAGTCCGGGACCAAATAACCAGCCCTAAATTTTTCATCCTAAAAAAATAAAAATAAAATAAAAATTCTTTTATTGCTTACCTCAATTCTTACCTAATACAGGGTAACTAGTCCTACGACGAGCAGAGACATTGATAGGTGGACGGCCCCCTTTCGCGATGGAATCGACTCCGGGAACGGACCCCTTTCGCCGCCGGTGGACAGCGGGCGGATTCTGGAGTCCCCCAGGTGGAAGGTTCGGCGACAGGGAACTTCAAACCTGACAGCCTGCTCGGCGGAGAAGAGATCTACAGAGGATGGGTCGACGGGAGAAGTCTATCACCTTGTACTAGTGGCGGTTTCAGGATTTTTTTATAGGGATGTCCTCTTCCAAAAATTAAATTAAATTAAAAATTAATTAAATAATTCATAAATCAGAAAATATCCGAGTAGTACATATTTTAACAAAAGATCAGGACATATTTTCATATTTGGAAAAAATAATATTAAATAGACTCAATATCTACATTGTTCAACAAATCTGTATATCTTACTAGACAATAATGCACGAACTGATCGCATATTCGATTTCTAACCTTGTCCTTGATGTAACTCAAAGTAGAAAGACTCTTTTAACTATTGCCGTGTAACCATGAAATCAATTCAAATTAAGGATAACCCGTAATTAGTTTAATTGTTAGGTTTTGAAAATAATTGGGGATAAGGAATAATGTTTTTACTATTTTATAGTGTTTAAAATAGAACAAGAAACGAGTTGAAACCTAGAGAATATGTTTAATAATAGTAGTGTTCTAGGTTTGAATAATACAAAGTACCACTTATATTTTTTTAATCATACACAAATTACTACCGAGATTAGGATAATCGTTTTTTTAAAATTTAAGGGTGTCCCGGATCACAGATTATAATTTTTTTTATCCATACGAAACTATTATTTGAGGTTGGATAATCGTTATCCCAAATTCTAGGGGTGTCCCAGGACACCCCTAATGATCCATGTATCCGCCACTGCCTTGTACCCCCGGGGCGGGTCTCGCCATCGCCATCAAGAAATTGACGACGGGAATTTGATATCTTTTAGTAATTTTAGTGACCACAAATGGAATAAAGTATTTTTAGTGATCAAACTTGACAATTTTTAGAACGTCATCTCAATGACTAATCATGACATTTACCCTCAAATCTACTTAACCCCTCGATGTTAAACCAAACTTGCTTTTCATGAGAAATTGAGTCATATAACTACAATTTTAAACCAAACATGAATGTAATAGAATAATTAGTATGATATTCATATATGGGTCATATAAAAATAGCTTGAGTTATTGATGAGAGGAAGTAGTAGTTCTTGAAACCAAGTGATTTCTTTGCTTTTCAGCAAGTATTAATGTTCATTGTATCAATCTTGATGGGTTGCGTGGTTACAGTGACGGCTGAATTGATGACCTTAGAGACTAAAGTGGATGTTGTAGACCCATCGAACTTAACCGCGAAGTACACAATAACAGATTCAGATGATCAAGTAGTGGTGAGTGAGTTGAAGTTCGAGAAAGAAGGAACAAAAGGTTGTATCTGTAAGTTGACCAATCAGTACGTAAAGAAAGCCGAGGGAATCCACAATGGAGCAGAACGGGTATTGCGTGTCAACAAGAAGCTGTTTGAGTATCTCTCAGCCAATCCCGACATTTGTGCATAAGCCAATTATTATAAGGAAATATCATGGCTTTGATATACATGAGATGAACAATAATGGGTGTTTCGTTTCAATATTCACTTGTATTTGTGTTTCTTATTGTTCTTTTCCCCTTCAATAAGTCCCAATCCCTTGTCCTTCGGGGTGTCGGTTAGATATTTATGCTGTGTATCGATCACTTCTTATTGAAACTATTGTACTTTGAATGAATATATACTAGTTGTTATGAAAATAAAAAAGTCGTGGTACAACTTATGTTTTGGATTTATGGATGCATTTGGCATTTGTAGGAGTTTTAGGGTGCTATTTGAGTAGTTTTGTTAAAAAGTTTAAAGGATGGGTAGTTAGAGGGAACTTGTTTATCTTTATATTATGTTATTGTGGAGATTTTCTCTTTAAGAAAAATACATAACAGAATTAACAGAAAACCCTATTTCTCAAGCACGTATAACCTAGATAGTAACTCATACACTTCATAAGCACATGAAAAGATAGAAAATATTCAAGTTCAAACTGTAGAAGTAGCATGAACTAATTATCTTGATAATTTGAAAAATTTAAAGCTCGAAGTTAAATGATTAGGCAAAGGTCGATTGATAAGTTGACAAGTAAAGTGGCATGACATTTTATCCAACTTAATAATGAAAGTCGAAATTAACAATGGCCTACTCCCATTGAAATCTCAAATTCCAACACTCTTACCAAAGAATTCGTAACTTAAAATAACTTTGACGTTTAAAGCTCAATGAGAAAGATGTTATGCTAGAATTTTGAAAATTTTGGTATGGACTTTGCTAAAATTTATCAATCCATCCAAGCATACATTCAATTAAGATCATCAAAAGCACCATGCAATCTCATTTCTTAGCATACAAGGTCAAATTGATTCCAAATGGGTACACAAGGTCAAATTCAAACCCTCTGGAGAAGTCGAACGCCTCAAGCATTGTTAGTTTCCAAAGGCTTCACTCATATACTAGGGATAGATTATCATGATACATCTACTCCCGTTGCCAAGATGGTCACTGTTCGTAGTTTGGTTGTTGTTGTTGCTTTACAAAATTGGCCATTGCACCAACTCAATGTTAATAACGCATTTCTTCATGGTGAATTGGATGAAGAGGTGTACATAAATATGCCTAAAGGGTTTCGTCAACCAAATGACTATAGAGTTTGCCACCTTAAGAAGTCCTTATATGGTTTGGAACACGAGAGTGGTGTTGGGCCAGTGCAAAGAGGAAGGGAGCGATATCGACGAGAGGTTACCGGAGAGCAAGAGCTTAGATCTTTTTTTTTTTAATTTGTACATTTTTAATGTTGGTGATGGGTGAGGGGAGAAGCTAAGAGTAAGTGAGTTGGATAATTAATTAAAATAAAATTTTGATTTAATTGTCTAATTGCTATATCATCTGGTTAATGGTCAAAGGTCACCGTTGACCACCATGTAGGACAAATTTACTGAAAAATGGACGGCCAGTGATCAACAATAAAATTAGAGTTTATTGTTAGTAACCGCTAATTGAATACAAAAAATTAGTGACGAACATAAAAGAAATTGATAACTCGGTGACCAGACATGTACTTTAGCAGGTGATTTTCCAAATAGCTAGGAGGGGTTTATAAGACCGGTGCTACAAAACCATTGAGGTAACTTATTTTCTTAGTACACCATAACATCCAATTTGATATATTTCGAAATAGATGATTTTCACACCAAATTTACGTACTCGTATATGTCGTGGTACGATGGTTTTGGGAGCAGGGGCGGAGGGAGAGTGTTAAAGGGTGGGTCCCGGGATCCACCCTGGCTCGGAAACAAAAATATTAAATTAGATATAATAGTTAATCGGGTATGACAAATAATACGTATTTAAATGAGAATGGTTGAACTTTCAGTTAAAGATGTATTTATTCAATATCTACCGCAAATTTCCACCAAATCTAGTTTGTATAAATAATTTTATTTCAATTAGCGGCAGGGAGAGTGTAACGGGTGACTCCTAAGGAAAGAGTAAATTAGTATAATTGTTCATTGAGAATGAAATTTAGCCATTTCTATAGGGAACTTCTTATTGAAAATGGTTGACCGAGAGATCATGTGTTCGAATCTTGACGACCCCATTTGTTAAGCACATGATATTCAAATTTGAAAACACTTTAACCATGTATAAATTGGTTTTCGTTAGCGGGGAAGTGTTAGTAAATATAAAATAGTTTAAGATCCATAATTTAATCTTTCACAACAACTCGAGTTGTTGATACTAAACGATGTTGACAAAGAACATCATTCAAAAGTAAATGTATAACTGAATTATGAATATTTTTTTTGATAATTAATTATGAATATTTTTTTATACATATAAAGTGATCTTTTTTATATTCATATATTTAATTTACCAAATTTTTTTAAATACAAAATTAAATCATGAATGATTTAAAAAGCTAACAAAATATTTTTATCGTATGTATTTTTTTCTAAACGGATCCACCCTCCACAATATGATTTTATAATTTATTTTATTTTTAAAATGATATAAATGAAGAAAAATTATATTTTCTGAAATAAAATTAAAATACGGTAAGGATAATCTTGTATTTTCAAAACAGTTTTTCGCAGAAGCTCCAAATCGGAGCTTCTGCTTTTATGTTATACAAAAGCGCTTTACGGCTTTTCAAAAGCCGAGCTTTTACAGGTGTTTGGCCCTGCTTCAGCTTTTAAAGCTGAAAAACACTTCTAAAAGCCGGGCCAAACATAGGGCATGTCTTTGAATCATAGGCAACAACCATCTAAAAAAGAGATTAGAAAAATAGATTTGATATCGGGCGTGGCCGCATTGGTGGACTTGGACAAAGAACAAATGATAAGAACCGGTATCATAGAATAGTTGAATCTATAAATTAAAGCATATATCTGATATGATTCTCGTGCAAAGCAAAAGATACTTGAGCAACATTATAAATACTAGCTAGCGTGGAGATGTGTTACCTACTTACCTTCCTTATAAATACCTGTACTGCAGCCCTACATTAATATCCCACACATTCCAATCTTTGAGCTTCCTTTTCATCCAATAAGTTTCTCTTTGCCTCTTCGATACTTGATCAATCAATAGAGCTAGCCAGCTTGGGGAAAAAAACCTTCCATTTACCATGGCAATGACTACCGTTACCCAGGAGATCAAATCTTCCAACATCTCAGCCGCAAAAATGTTCAATGCTGTGATCCTGCAAGCCGACGCCACTTACACAACCGTCTTTCCTCAAATGATCAAGACTATCGAGACCATCCAAGGCGATGGAGGCACTGGAACGATATTCAAAGTCACCTTCATTGATAGTGGTAAACGTTTCCTCTTTCTTCCTTGGGTCGAAGTCGAATCGAGTAAAGATTGGATATATATATAAGTGAACGTTGTTGTTCATCTATGTGTTTTTCCCTTTGATAGTGGGTCTATACCAAGAATTTGAGTTATTGATGGGAGAGGAAACATTTAGGTTCTTGAAACCATTGATTTCTTGGGTTGAACAGAGTAATGAATGTTCATTGTATTAATATTGTTCGGTTGCGTGGTTGTAGCGACAGCTGAATTAATGACCTTGGATACTAGGGTGGATGTTGTAGACCCATCGAACTTAACCGCCAAGTACACAATGACGGATTCAGATGATCAAGAAGTGGTGGTTGAGTTGAAGTTTGAGACAGAAGGGCAAGGTTGTATTTGTAAGTTGACTACTCAGTATGTAAAGAAAGCGGATGAAATTCATAGCGGAGCAGAAAGGGTATTGCGTGTCAACAAGAAGATGTTTGAGTATCTCTCAGCCAATCCCGATGTTTGTGCCTAAGCCAATTAAATATCATGGTTATATCTAGCTAGATGGACACATCTAGATATTTGATATTCATGATATACGAACAATAATGTGTGTTTCATTTAAGGTTTGTTTTAAATATCTAACTTATTTGTGTTTCGTATTGTTCTTTTCCCTTCAATAAAAATCCCAATCCCTTGCCCTTCGGTGTATTGGTCAGAAATTTACATTGTATACCAGTCCCTTCTTGTTGAAATAAATATACTTTGAATGAATATATTCAGGTTGTTATCAAAAGAAAACGTGTGTTAAAAATAATTAGCACGAATTAGGTGTTTTTAACTAAAATAATAATAGATGGTTACATCTGTAATAAAAAAAAATAGATGGTTACATCTATATGATTACAATATCTGATTATACAATAATCAAATAATAAGTAATGGTTTATGAATGTGTGATTGTTCAATAAGATTATATACTAGATAACGTCTTGTGCTATTGTAATAAGAAAATAAATTATCAAAAATAAAAATATTAATTTTCTCGTCTATGGCATATTATACTAAATAACTCTGGCTCATCAAATTTTGACTCCGCCCCTGGGTAGGATGGATATGTGAGAAGGAAAAATAGTGGTTGTTTCCTTCTCCAGCCGTGGAAGGCTGTGTTGGTAAGAGGTGGCGGCGGCAAGCGTTTGGAGTGGGGATGCAATCGGTAGCCACTACTCAATGATTGAGCTGACTGAGTTAGGGTTTCTAGCAGTACGCTTTGGGGGTTCAAATGTTCAGATCAGGCTTGGGCCTCGTTTGGGTTTTGGGCTTTTATAAGCTTATGTTTAGACTTCTTGCTAAGTGGGCTTTTTTCCTTCCTTTCAGTTGTTGCTACAATTATGTACACCTTGTTTCGTATTAATGAAACGACCATTCACTGTCAAAAAAAAAAAAAAAATATCTTGCAAGCGATGGAGGAGCCATCACACTAGCATGCAAGTTAGTGACTATTCCTTATCCTCTCAAATTAGTTTGGGTTTTATCCATACTCATGCAAGATTCGAATAGTAAATTAAAACCATGCTTATACCCTATAGGATTTCCCGTATCCATGGATATCCAATGATAATATTTTCCTTTTATCTTCTTAATTACTGTTATACTAATCACAAGTATATTAACATTACTGAGGTTAAAATTTATAAATAACAAGTCACTAATACTAAGGAAATAAAAATGGAACAAACCAATAGTCCAATACTAAGAGAAGTAATAAAAGGGGAAAAAGAATTCATGAGATGCTACAAATATAATAGAAATATAGTATATGTTAACTTAAGAAATAACGATTTTTAGTAGATATTGTATTGCAAGTATAATTGGGTGAGTTCGGATTAGATAGTGAGAAAATTATACCAGCATATTATTTGTGATCTTTGGGTTCGAATTTACCCGTACTTGCCGGATATTTTATTTAGTTCAGGTTTTACCCTATCCAATCGGGAATATATTCGGGCGAATATCCATCATCATGGATATTTTTGCCTATCCCTATTAATCTAGTGTTTCATTTTCGAAGTCTACTGCAGAGAGCCTGGACAATTCACCTTTCCTACATCTTCATGAAGATATAATTTTTTTTCCCCCGTCAATTGTTTGATTCATAGGAATTTTGTATCCTATTTGAAAATTGAATGTCACTCTGTACCTTAATTATGATCTGAGATAAGAAGACTATGCATGAGTACAAACTACAGAAGGATGGGCTGTGAATTAACGCATCAAAAGCCAAACAATTTCGCTCATTTCTGGAAATCGAAAAAAAAAAAAAAGATGGATCTTTATTTACAAAGCACACTCCAACGGCAAGCAATCGTCAGTCCAAGGCAACGTCGAAATGGAGCTTCCTCTCCAATACGTCGGAGCAAATCTGGGACATCATGTGGTAGAAAGACAAGAGATCGGACAGCTGGTCGGCCGACATCTTCCCCATCACGTTCCTCGCCAGCTTCTCCCTCTCCTCGTTCAGTTTCAGCCGCTGGATGTACGACCCTCCGTTCCTCACCGTCGCCCCCATCTGCTTCAGCCTCGTCTCCTGCTGCACGCTCAGCGCCGTGTTCGACTGCATGCATGCAGATCCACAACAACACACACAGAACTCACTATTTTCGTCCACTCTCTCATACCATGTAATAATTAAACTTCATTACGCGTAAATAAATCGAAGTTAATTAAGTTACGTACCTCGAGGAACTCGGCGCCGGCTTTGAGTTCTGACTCCGTCGATGGCTGCTGCTGCATCTTTTTCTCCCGGCCGGTGCTTACGGCCGAGTACATATGCCGGGCGATCGAGAAACTCCTCACTATCACTTTCCTCTTCTCCTCCATTTCTTCGTCCAGCTTTACCGCTTTCCCCACGCTGCTTGTGCTCCCGCTCACCAGCTTCTTCTGATACGCTATCACAGCCTTCACGAATTCCTGCACGTACATCCATTTAGGGCTTGGGTTTAATGTCAAATTCATAACATGTATTTATGTTCGTGCACATATGGTTTCTCAATCACTTCATCTTCCCGAATAAATTGCACAAGGGAACCATTTTTACCTTAACTTATTCTTAAGTTCATACATCTTCCAATAATTTAAATTACAAGAATCTAACTGTTTTTTCACACGATATCAAATATGTTCAATCCCATGACCTCATTTGTTAAGCATATGATATTCGGATTCTTATGCAAAATTTAAACCCTTCTGAGTTGGTTTTCATTGAAAACAATGGCGAAACCATGTTAAGCACAAAAGAGGCTATAATATCATCAAATTTTTATTATAGGTAAATTTACAATTAAAATGTGTAACAAATTCTAAAAGTAGACTAGCACCGAAAGCACCAGCTCCCTTACCAATGATCAAGGTTCAAATTTCCTAGTTTTACTGTTTTCATAAAGTATTAAGTATTTCTTGTATATTTTTAATGATTTTTCAGCTACTTAATAAAATATCAATACGTGTCGGCACTACCATATTAATTATAAAAAAATTCAAGATTTTCCTTTTCAGGAAATCGGGAAAATAAAGAAGAACAACAAGAAGAAGAAAAACTTTGCGGACCTGGTAGGCTCTGGGGCAACCCGGATAGTCAAACCGGTCGGTATCCGGGTCCCGCATCCGCTCGGGATGAAACTGGAGGCCCATAATGAACTTCCCTTCCTCCGGGTTATAAGCATCCGGGTCATAAAACCCTTCCACAAGCCCATCAGGCCCAAACGCCATCGGCACAAACCTTTGGGCCAGCCTCTTCACCCCTTGGTGGTGATAACTATTCACCCAGATCCCCATTCCATCCCCACCGCCGCCGCCCTCCTCCTCCTCCACCAACGAATCCCTAAACCAATCTCGCAGCGGCGTCCCCTCCGCCACCGCAATCGGGTGCCGGTGGCCGTCGTAGTTGTCGTAATCGATGTGCTTCGTAGCGACAGATCCTCCCGCCGAAGATTTGGAGAGCTCCCTCTCGACGTCCTGGTAGAGCGTCCCGCCGCAGGCGACGTTGAGGACCTGGGAGCCGCGGCAGATCCCGAGGAACGGGATGTTCCGCTCGAGGCAGAGCTTGGCGAGGCTGAGCTCGATGGAGTCCTTCTCGCGGTCGACGGCGGTGTCGCTGGCGTGGAGGCGCTTCACCTCCTCGAATTCCTCCGGGGAGAGGCCGGCGGCGTCGGCGTCGGCGGCGTAGAGGGAAGGGTCGATGTCCTCGCCCTCGCAGAGGAGGACGCCGTGGATGGGCTCGAAGCTGTCGAGGAGCATGTGGACCCCGGTGACGCGTGGCACGATGACGGGGACGGCGCCGTATCCGACGATCAGATCTAGATGGTACTCCCCTGAATTTTTTATGAAAACAAAAATTACGATTGTTGGTTGGGAGGGATCGGGGATTGAAAATTGAATTCGGGGAATACGAACCGACGAAATCGACGAACTTGTTCTTGCGGAGGGTTCGGCGGGAGACGATGAGGACGCGTGGCAGGATGACGGAGAGCTGGTCACGGTGCGGGGAAGGTGCGGCGGCGGCGTCCATGTCAATGTTGGAGACCGGAGAGGAGGGTTTTTGTTGTTTGGATTTTGATCTGTTGTTTTGTTTAATCTTTCGTTTTGTTCGCTTTGGTAAGGAGGAAGACATACAGTTTTGGGATCGTACTTATAGAAAGAGTTAGTTAGGGATAAGAAGATGCGATTAATATTTAATGCTGTAAAACACAGGGTGGGGATGGATTAGGAGCTAGGATTGACAAATCGTATCGTATAGGTGGTTCGACCAGAAAAACTTAATTGATAGTGAAATTAATCGATGGTATTTTGTGGTATGAAATAGTTGAATCATGCCCAATTATAGCAAAAAACAGGTCCACTAACTTTTCAGGTACAATTTTCGATACGGTTTTCCAACTCCGATTAGTAGCGTATTAGTTTGTTTAAGGAGTTGAATTTGTTCTTTTTTTCCATGATAACAATAAATAAAAATCACGGATATCAACTGGCTAGTTAGTTAGGTCACTGGATGGATATACTACCTGTGTTTTAAAGTACTGACTCGACAGCGATAGAGTAGTAGAAATGTGCACGTGGTAGTGGCGCCGCGTCGCACCCGAACTGCTGCAATCCACTTGGACTTAGTTTGTTCTTACTTGATGGCGCATGGGGCTGCGTCAGATCAGGTGGCGAGCAAATCCCAAATAAGAGAAGAACATTAGATTAAGGGAGGAGAGAAGAAAAAGAAGGAACATGGAATTTTGCATCAGGAACTCAAATCAAACATGTACAGAACTACAGTAGTGTTGTCTAGGACTGAGAAACGGTGCGGTCTAGTCCAGACCATATATACGGTCTATGGTCCAGACCGAGAAGTTAAAGTATAGATCACAGACCAGACCACAGACTATATGGTCCGGTCCAGACCACGTCTGTGCGGTCTGGTTCGGTCTGGTCTGGTCCAGATAGACCACACTCAAAGAAAAATGAATAATTTGTTTAGTCAACCACACAAAAAATTGAACCAATAACCAATAAAAATAATTTTTATTTGCCTTAACACATTAATCCTAACATGCATGAATAATTTTGATACTCTAAATCTTAGTATATAACAAAAATACAAAGTAAAAACATCATAGCTTGCACCATAACGTCATAAACATTAACATAATATCATATGGAGACACTATTATCTCAACTCTCTGGTTAAATGTGGTTGTGAATGAAGGAGAGAAGAGATTCACAAAATTAAGGTTGAGACTTGGGTGTTGTTGTGGGAGTTTGGAGAGTGGTCGAATGGGCTGTTAACACGTATTGACAAGTCAGTTGTGTCTACGGTTTGGTTCGGTAAACCGCGGTCTAGACCAGACCAGACCAAGAGATCAAATCATAAAATAATACAGACCATGGACCAGACCAGACCATACTTCACGGTCTATGGTCCGGACCAAACTGTGCGCTACGGTTTGGACCACAGTTTTTCTAACGGTCTGGTCTATTTTCCTAGCTCTAGTGTTGTCTAATAAAGAAATATCAATTATAATTATTATAGTGGTGTAAAAAATTTGGTATTTAAATTTTTTGTACAAAAAAATATAGGTTTTTCACAAAATTTTAGGGCGACGCGGTGTCGGACGACACCCCTTACCAACAAGTAGGTCTGCCCCTGCGGTTCGTACAAGAATGGAATATATATAAGGTTTTTAGTTCAAATGGAGAGGCTAGAACACAAATTATGGACGAGAACATATATTATATGGTCATGATCATATCACATTTCTACGGTGCGGTTTGGTCTGGACCAGACATAAGATGTTCAATATAATTTCATTCTTCTTCTCTCCAATACTATTCGGTATCCATAAAAATAAAAATTAGTTCCCAATATCATAGTGAAACAAAGATTTTGGTGACGGTAATTAATCGGAGAAGAAATGAGGTGAGAAGTGAACATTTTATGATATGTTACTCTTACTCCAGTCTCCACTAGGACCACTACTCTATATGGTATCCACTTAAAATAAAATACACAACTAATAACTTCGTCTCTCTCTTTCCTCTTTGTGCTATAGCTTCTCTCCCTCTCTCCGGGGTGGTCAAGAGATTCTCACACTCAATCACCACAGTTGCGACATTGACACCGTTTTGAACAATTGGGTTGATCACTTCGCTTGCCATAGTTCCCCTCATCTCACCCATGTGAATAATTATGTTACGCATTTCTCTATATCAACTCCAGAGTCTATACATGGCTAGTGGAGTTGATTTCCATCTTCCTTGTTTTTGTGTGGGTTTTTTTTCATTAGGAGATAACTTAAAAGGGATCGCTTGAGCAGCCTTTCGTCTTTCAGGTGGATGAAGAATATCGATAACCAGTATGATCCACAATTGAAATTCTACCAACAATTCGAGTTATTAGGATTAATAACTCGAGAGAGAATGAAAATATTCACAGCTGGATTCACACGATGACGAGATTAGGCTTGCCTGGGGAGGCAGCTGGTAGGACGGGTCGGATCTGAGGAAGAAAGGACAAACATGGCCATGTGAAGCCCACTACTTGCATTTGCATGCATGCATGCATGAACAGGCAATTGCTGGAGATCAGGTAGCCAGCCAGGAAGGATGGCAGCTCCTAAGCTAACACAGGTCAAAGCTAAATCAATATTATAAAGCTCTCTTACATATATTATATATGTATATATTTCCTTACCAAATATGTAGATTGGATTCATCGAGAAAGAAAGAAAAAAACCCTACGTGGGCGGCCACACAAGACTCGAGTCAGATTAGATGAGCTCGTTATATATTAAACTAAGATCTCTATTAGTACAAACAACAAAAAATGTAATGTTTAATCAGTACAAGATAATTTTCTTTATTTTTCGTTAGCCAAATGTGATTTCAACATACGTATTGGGTAGGATTCATAATTAATAATATGATTTATCCTACTTTTTTCTAATCGCTTGTATATCCGAGAAGAAACGAGTCTAGAATGATCTAAAAATGATATTCGTTTTCAATATATTTCGATAATTTTTTCTTTTGAATCACCATCATCACCTTTTACCTCCTTGGTTTTAACTTGGATTAAAAAAAAATGTTTGCAGAAGAAACATGTTAATCGTGCTCTACAAAATAATTTCGATTCTCGATATATCTATGAAAAAAAAAAATTATACCACCATCTACCATTGTGTCAAATGATAGTAGACGATGATGAATGATGGTAGATGGTCGTTAGTATATTTCAACCACCATTCTACACTATCGTATGTTCCTAGTACCATGATAATATTGATAAGTTTCCGTACCACCATGATGTAATCTTCTGTACTTCCAACATCTATCACCATAATATAAAGTGGTGAAATACGCATATGTAAACATGAATTTTTTCTAAAACATATATCAGTGTGAATATTTATTTGAAGAGTATGATTAATTTTATTTTCCAGTGGAAAACGTTTGAATTCTATACTAAATAATAGCTCATGAGCCATTTTAAAAGCAACTAACATTATCCATACCCCCGACTCATTTATCATTGATCCAAACTCTGTCTATTTAATCGTGAGAAGGTTCTGATAATAAAAAAAAAAATTATGAGTATGTTCTAAATAAGACTATACATAAATGTGTAATTGTCATTCCTAGCCCTTATATAACTACTTTCTTTCTATCAAATCCAAAATCCATCAGTCTGAGAGAAAATTTCCCCCTTGTCTAGGCGATCACAATTTATGATCTTATGTTTGTTAATCCGTTCTTTAGTTCCAACTATAAAATTTGTATAGTATTACAAATTTAGTATAGTATTGCGACCATAGTATTATGAACATGGTTTAAGAAACTGTATCATTCGGTCCGCCCAAAATTTTTTTTTTTTAGGAAAGTGGAACGCTAAAAGGGCGCCCCTGCCTGAAACTTAGATTAAGCGGGTTTGGGAAATACCCAGAATGTCATACAAGATCCAAAAGGATAAACTAGAGTCAGAGACCTCAAAATAATGATAACCAATGCTACTAGAATGGCCCTTGTTGGCCAGAAAATCCGCTACTTTGCTCCCTTCTCTGTAGATGTGGGAAATCTTCACTTCCCAGCTCTTATTGAGTAGCTCCTGGAATTGTTGAACCAGGATAAAGTATACAAACGATTGAATCACGTTAAACCATCATTTTTTTACGAAATAATAAAATACATTACTATTAACTTTTCCGGTACAGCGGATCTGGGGCGGTGAACGTCTGTTTGGTTGGACCCTTATTCGGCGACCTTGGGATTGGAGATCTGCGTTTATCTTGCGGGTCAAAGGTGATTCACATATGTTTGGTGGATCCATGAGAGATCCATGTTTGGGCTTGGCGGATTAAAGTTAGTTTCGCATTTGGGAAGCAGATCAAAGAGAGTTCTGCGTCTGGTAAAGTCCTTGTATCGAGAAGCCCATCGATACAAGGCGTCTGGCTGATCAAGATAATCGCCGAGGAGAGGGCACGAAGTTCGTGGTCCTTGTCTTGAGGGGAGGACACTCTTGATATGGGACAATCCAAGTACCACATCGGTAATACAAGGGAAGGACCCCTTGTATATAAGTGTCCACCAAGCTCATTAGTAAGAGGCCTATTGGGGAGGACACCCAAGAATAAACCCGTGCGGTCTTGGCCCAAAGCAGACAATATCGTACTAATTGAGCAGCCCAATTTCGAGTAGTGGTATCATTGTCCATAACAGTTTCACAATTATTAATTACTACTTACAACTATCTTATTTCTTCTATGTTCTCTGCGACTCTATAACAAAAAAAAAAAAAGACTTTTTTCCCCTTTGCCTTCTGCTTTACGGAATGCAACAACCAACAAACTACAGTTTTACAACTTGCCGAAACAGCCCACAGGGGCAAGCCCAAGTTCCTACCCTTTCTCTCGGCCTTCAATTTACGACCACCTACGCCAATTTAAGCACAATCATAGAAGCCAGCTTGGGCCCACCGAACCCAACAATTAGATGGCCAGCCTGCGAAGGAAAAAACCATTTGTAGCAGGTGCACTTCCCGGACCGACAACGAGCACCTGGGAACTTCAAAATGTAGGCCCAATGGTTTACTTTATGGGCCCGCTTCAACTCCTCTACATGCAAATTAGGCAAACCCGAAAATTTTGGGATGTGATTGTGTTCTGAAGTTGGAGAGACGGGCTTGGATAATCGCAATGCATGACGAGAGTAGAGAGCAAGGTTGTCAACTCGTGGGTTGATTCAATCCGATTGAGTTAGTGGGTCATCCATTTTAGTCCGGAAATATTGGAAAAAGTTATTTGTATTTATCCTGATAAATTATATCAAATCCCATCTAACATATGAGTAATAACATATAATATTACACCAAAGTAGCATGTCGTATTTAGATCCAACATATATAGTGAAAATTCACACACTCATATAACATCAATATTCAACTGTTCAACTGAGGATTTCAAAGATAATGGCAATGCGTGCGACCTGTTCTTCTCACCGAGTCAGAGTCAAAATGGGTCGACCTACGAATCGACCCGCGGGTTGACAACCTTGATAGAGACTAATGCAAATACTGGTTTTGCAGGTGAGGTGAGGGCCAAATAACAATTTTGATTTTTGAATAGTCAATTTCAATGCAAGTCAATTCAATTCTTCTATATTTAAATCCCTATGTTTAAGGAGTCTTTCGGGTACATAATTTATTATTATTATTATTATTATTATTATTATTATTATTTCGGTCTATAATATAGGTGAACATTCATTTTTCAATTATGAAAATATTGAAAAACATGCTAAAAATTCAAATGCATTGTTAATTTTATGTTTGTACTTTATTAATTTGTTCTGAACATATCATACTAGTAATTACAGTTTAGAGTAATTTTGATTATCTCAAATAATGTCTTGTATTGTTATAAATATAAAAATAGTAATTTTTTTTTATAAATTTATATTTTGTTCTTTTTCGATAATACACTAAATAACTCCCCCAAGCTTAGTTGTGAAGGCTATGATGAATCGGACATTATTTTATGTTCCCACATGAGATTATAAAGGTGTATTATATATTCTAATAAGGTGTTTCTAATCGGATTGGTACTTGGTAGTGGAATTATTTTATGTTCCCACCATGCAACTTGGATAGACTGGTAAAAGTATTGGTCTTATGATATATACAGTTAATTGGTAGTGGATCCTCTATTTTGAGTAAATACTATTTATTAGTGAAATATTTAAAAAATTTCAAATTATTAGTCAAATATTTTGAAATATAAAGTATTAATCAAATATTTTGTAAAATTTGGTTAATAAATTATATTTAGGGAGATAAGTACTCTTTCCAAACACGTTTATCATTGTATGGTATGTATTCTGAAGGCGGCTTTATCCTCCCCAGTCCCCAGACCATTCTTCGGATAAGGTTGATTTGTACCTGGAACAACTTGCATTCTTAAACACTAGTTTGGCTGGATTGGTTTTGTACGAAATATGGAACAAGTTGGAACAAGTGATGATTTCATTCAGTGAATATATTTTTATTAAAACTCAAAGTTAAGTGACCCTTTTATCAGTGGTGGACCTAGATTGTTGAAGAAGGGTGTCGCCTAATGAACAAGTATCGGCTATAATTATTAAAGCATGTCGAAAATCTCGTATTAGAAAATTTTATATAAAAAAATAAGTTTTTTGCAAAATTTTCGGGCGAAAGGGGTTATGGGTTTATGTTCATGAAGCATACTCACCCCAGACCAGTTTGTCTAGTGTGCTTCAATGTTCATATGACCACTTGCCATAGCATTAAGGGTTGGGTTGTTATTAAGTTGTATGGTTATGGGTTTAACCGTTAATCAAATTGGTATATCATGGTAAACGGTTGAACATATAATCATTTTTCATCTCTTAGCCTCAGTTATCCATAAGAAAAATTCGTTTATTTTGTTTGACTGACATTATCAATTAGCAACTGGCGGTGAATCGGTTAATGATGCTGAATTTAAATACTATTTCTCGAACTGTCCTAAGATCAATTACAACACACGTGGTTTGTTGAAGGCAAGTCGGATCAAAAGATAAATCAAGTGTTTTAGCTAGCTTGATGATCTAAGAGATTAATATCCTATACGTAAGAATAATCATTGTAATGACAAACATAAAAGCGCAGTTTCCCTGTTAGAGGTGCGAACTCGTGGTTTTGTGAACAGTACTTTAGGTTTTATAACAAAAACATTCACTTTTATGGAAAACCATTAACGATTGGGGTACAGAAATACCTATTGAGTCGTGAGAGATTGAGATGCGACCCAATCCAAAAAATCGAAGTAAATGTCAATTTGGTCATTGGACTAAATGTGACCTATTTTAGTAATTCGAGTGACCAAAATTGATATTAATTTTTCCAAGTGACTAAATATAACATGATTTAGTAATCTCGGTAACCAAATACGACATTTATAAAAAATTGATAAGAAAAGATAAAACAATTAGAAGAAGTGAAAAGGCAAGGCAAGACTGACTGGCACGTAATTGTCGAAGTGCGCACGTGTCATGCAATTACATCACATAAGGTCCTAAAAAACATATAAAAAAAAGAAGAAGTTAAAGTACACCTGTACTTTCACCACGAAGTTATTACTAGATTAAGTAATGTTGATTGTTGACCCATATTATTAGCGAAAGCCCTGTCTGTACAAAACTGAAAACTACAAATCAAGCATCATAGGGACACCTCGTTACACAAGTAAACAAAAAGTCAAACGGAATTATTCGATAATTAAGAAAGAATTTTAGTTTCTTGCTTGAAAAGAAATCAAAATTGTTTGGACCTAACACTCTTTCGCCGCGCGCACGTATGGAATATCCTTTTGGTATTCCACTCCCACTCCAGGTTCCAGTTATATACCATTTCCTTCTCTTTCGTTCTAACTAAATGGGTAGGATGGAGGTGAGAGCGGATCCCGGGGTCCTTAGTCACTTGACTAAGCCCCTCCTAGTCATTAGATCTGGGCACTTCAATCCAATTGTTAAAAAGTGGAAATGACTATTTAATTAATGACATGGGTAGTTTGGGTATCATGTAAAATTATGAAGTATACAAACCAGATTTACAATAAGTACAAACCATACAAACATACAAACAATACAAACTAGAGCGACCAAACATACAAACAGATTCACAAACATTACAAATGTATGAACTGTACAAACACTCTCTCTCTCTCTCTCTCTCTCTCTCTCTCTCTCTCTCTCTCTCTCTCTCTCTCTCTCTCTCTCTCTCTCTCTCTCTCTCTCTCTCTCTCTCTCTCTCTCTCTCTCTCTCTCTGAGCTGTTGGGTTGGGAGGATGAAAGCTTGTTTGGGGAATCCCACAGGCAGAAGCTTTTGGGTGGGGGAAATTAATCCCACGGGCATGAACGGCGGCGCAGGTTGGGGAGCCGCCGGAAAAACCCCAGAAAACGAAACGACCGCGACTCGGCGGGGACGGGGAGAATTGGATTATTTTTTTAGTTGTTAAGCTTTTGGGTGGGGGAAATTAATCCCACGGGCATGAACGGCGGCGCAGGTTGGGGAGCCGCCGGAAAAACCCCAGAAAACGAAACGACCGCGACTCGGCGGGGACGGGGAGAATTGGATTATTTTTTTAGTTGTTAAATAAATTAATAATATAATTACCACATTACCCTTTATTAAAATGGATTAATCTAAACCATTGGATTTTAATGAGGTGGAAGGGTTGAGATTGATTTAGTCATGTGACTAAGGCCCTCCTCTTAGTCACCTGATCCTAGCCCGATGGAGGTGTACAACAGTATTGGTATGGATTGGACCCGATAATTTTGTCCAATAATAAAATACAATCTAGGATTAAAGATCGGATCTATATTACATGTCCAAATCACCAAATGTCATTTCACTTTGATTCGTTTTTTCCTCCGTATTTAATTTATATAATAATTAATAACTTAAGCAATTTTTCTTTGATACGCGCATATCCATATATATATATATATGCATCAATCTGACTCAATTTACCCATCAAATTAAAATACCCAACCTACCATGTAACATGCATGCATGCATGGTTAGTCTTGAGTTACCCTCCCCAACATGGTTCGATAATTATTCCTAGCTAACAGCAAGAGCCTGAACACACGCAAATTTAACATCAGTAAATTCCATACATACAATGTGTAATTAACTTTGTAGTAACGTAACAGTAATTGACTAAGTGTGATTACTCGTTCGTTAACGGTAACTAGATTAAAACGAAACGATGGTTAAGACAGTAATTAAAGATTGCGCAAAAAAGTGGGGATAATATGGCTGCTGGAATAATATTATTGAATACGATTAGATATAACGTGCGATAAGAAGGAACCTACGTACACAGTACACACATTACCAACAACCTCATCCCATTAACTTCCCCCAACAAATTTTCATTTAATTATCCACGTTTCCATGATCATCAAAACGCAGGAGTTTTGATATCCCAAGTCATTAACAAAAGCAAACAAACTCCACTTTCTCCAACACGTCTCTTTTCCCCTTCTATATATAAACCAAACACAATGCATTAAACATACACAAATACCAATCTCCTCCCTTCCATTTTCTTACTACACAGAAGGAAGAAAGAAAAAGAAGAAAAAAAAAAATGGTGTCGGAGACCGCATCTGATCCGAGCTCGGCATCCCCGATCAAAACCGTGGTGATCCTGGTCCAAGAGAACCGCTCGTTCGACCACATGCTGGGCTGGCTCAAAACCATCAACCCGGAAATCGACGGGGTAACCGGTTCCGAATCCAACCCAATCTCCACCACCTCCAACTCCAACCTGGTCTACTTCAAGGACCAGGCCGCCTACGTGGACCCGGACCCGGGCCACTCCATCCAGGCCGTCTACGAGCAGGTCTTCGGGGTCGAGTGGACCGCCGAGTCAGCTGCCGCCCACCCGGCCCCGAAGATGAACGGGTTCGCCCAGAACGCGGAGCGGACCCTGAAGGGGATGGCCGAGACGGTCATGAACGGGTTCAGACCGGACGCGGTCCCGGTCTACAAGGAGCTGGCCGAAAACTTCGCGGTCTGCGACCGGTGGTTCGCGTCCGTGCCGGCCGCCACGCAGCCGAACCGGCTGTACGTTCACTCCGCGACGTCGCATGGGGCGACGAGCAATGACACGAAGCAGCTGGCGGAAGGGTTCCCGCAGAAGACGATTTTTGAGTCGATGGAGGAAGCTGGGCATAGTTTCGGGATTTATTATCAGTATCCTCCTGCTACTCTCTTTTACAGGTATTAATCCTAATTAGTTTTGGGTTTTTCCAGTAATCTTTCAGTGGTTTTGGTGAAATGAGTATTATTAATATAGGTATAAATTATCATGTATAAATAGTAGAAACAATGATTTTCATCCATTATCTAATAAACAATAAGCTTTTCTCATGCTACGAGATGTGTGACATGTAACTTTCTCGAAACCAATATTACGATGCTTAAAAGAAGTGTTTTTTTATATATATACTTGTATGATCTTGATAAACTAATGCGTGTGGACCATTTTTTCCCCAAATAAACGTAGAATAGTGTTAGTGAATTTACCTAATATGGTGTAGTGGTGGGTATATCGAACAAGTTGGATATGATTGATGTTTCCTGGAAATAATTGCTCACCTAATGTGTCATTAGCATCACCAAACCCTTTGAAATCTTTTGACTAACATATTATATAAAAATTAAGATCAACCGACACATGGAATATGTAGTAAGCTTTTTTTTTTCTTTTCACCAACTATCTATATCGTCAACGGCGGATCCAGGGGTGGCCATCCCGGGCCACGGCCCAGCCCTCCTCTGGATCCGGAATTAGTATAGTGCTTATGAGTTTATCGATTTTAATCATTTGGCCTAGTGTTATTTTATAATAAGATTGTGTGTGATTAGGAAAATGGGTCAAATGAACATATTCAAATCACAACTCTAAATTTAGCCTAGACGTTCTAACTCGAATGATTCTCGTCTAAAGAAAAACAAACAATGATACCTAAAATTCTAAAAGTCTAAAAGACTAAAAGAAATATGAGTTTGTTCTCTTGAAAAATTACTAGAGCAACTGGTGAAAATAAGGATGGACACACAATACAAATTGATTAGTCGATTGATGTGTCTAGTGTTGACATTGTCCGTTTCAACAACTACTATGGAGAGAAGCTTTTTAACAATGAAACAGGTGAAAATGATTTACGCAACAAAATGAGCGATGAATTTCTCGCCGATTGGTTAACTATTTTATTTGAAAGAGAGTATGGTATTGGTATGGATGTAGATTTCCTTATTGATGAATTGGTTATATTAAAAGGTCGATGTGTGCAATTGATATTGTTAAAAAAGCTATGGTTTTTTTAACGGTATCTATGTTCTAATGAAATGTGGCCCAGTGCTCTACTATGTCCTGGATCCGCCGCTGTATATCGTGGGGAAAAGTCGCCACATCATCAGCATCCAATGGCGACTGGGGGCAAATGTTTAGCTTAATTGTCTTTCTCAACAGCTCATTCTTATTAGTTTCCAACTTTTAGGCTCTAAATAATGTTTTTAATTCACTAGAGCTACATACGACGACAATTAGCTAGGAGATGTGATTAGGTATTTAATGATTAATTATCTGGGGTGGGGATCAAAGGGATAAATCATAGCCAACCAAGCAAAATCTGATTCAGCCAAACACTCCCTTTGTCGTTGGAGTTTCTTGCTCACAACCAGGAATGGCAATGGGCAGGTCTTTATTATACCTAAAATATAATGTAATAAGAGGAAAATCTTAAGTAATTTGACTAAGATTATATTTAATTGAGGCAAGAACGGGTCGAGAATGGGGCGGGTCAGGGCAGGTCGGGTCGATGAGAGATACCCATGCCCGCCCTGCAAACCCGCCCCAAAACAGGTCAAACAGGTTGGATAAATCAGGTCAGGTCAAAATTGCCATCCCTATTCACAACTCATGACACAAAGATTTATAAAATAAATGTTTACTTATGATGGTATATTTTTTTCATATAATTTCATCAGCTCGTTAACAATTTTTTTATAAAATCTCATCAAGGACTTCATACCTCGAGAGAATTGGTGCGATCTCCCCTTGAAATCATGTTAAACTGAGATGTTCAGTGATGATGGTGTATCCAAATCAGCTGCCAGCTTAAACTTCTACGATCCGTAATTTGCGGTAGATCATATAACAATTATAGGAGTCAACCCTCCGTGACAGACTCTATTGTTTTCTGATATATATCTTATATTAAAATTCCAGACATGAAAATCATTGGTTTTCCAGTGGTATATACCTATGGATGTACCACTGAAAATCAAATTCTAGATTACTTGCTAAACACACAAAGCATATATTAAAGACTGACATACTCTAAGAATTTTATATACTTTAGGTTATATGATCGTTAGATGTGTTTCGATGAGCTCTCATCAATCTCAACGGTTAATTATAATTTTATTTTAAATTAAAATTTGGTTAGGGTTTAGAGAGTCATGATTTTTCACACTTTGTAAAAAAAAAATTAGGGTTTATTTGGTGTATACGTATCTAAATGATGTATTTAATTAATGTATGTATAGTATAGAATTTATCATTTTTGTTCCAAAGTGAAACACAATGTATACGTTTCATTGCTTATGTGACACTTGAGATCATTCAAAATCAATGATTTACAATCTCAAACTCTTTGATGATATATTTATCGATTGTGTTTTGTGAATGCGAGCTCAATTTTCTTTCCTCATATATCCCTATCAACTTTTATATATGGTTTGGCTTTTAAGTATCTAAAAAGAAGGATAAACACTTTTCATCTAAAATAACTTTCTCATATTATTTCTAAAATTACAATCACAACTACTAAACACTAATCTTAAATGCACATAATTAAACAGTTCATCAATTTATAATATAATTATTCATAAAAAATATCAATTTTAACCATCACAAATACCAAACAACCTCTTAAATGTTGTGATAAGAAATTAAAAAAACCCAAATTTGCCCTCATATATGCAGGAACCTGAGAAAGCTGAAGTACATCGACAACTTCCACCAGTTCGACCTGAGCTTCAAACGCCACTGCGAGGAAGGCAAGCTCCCAAACTACGTCGTAGTGGAGCAACGGTACTTCGACCTCCTCTCCATCCCGGGAAACGACGACCACCCTTCCCACGACGTCTCCAATGGCCAGCAGTTCGTCAAGCAGGTCTACGAGTCCCTCCGCTCCAGCCCGCAGTGGGAAGAGATCCTCTTCGTCGTCATCTACGACGAGCACGGCGGCTTCTACGACCACGTCCCCACTCCCGTCGTCGGCGTCCCCAGCCCCGACGACGTCGTCGGCCCGCCGCCTTACAACTTCAAGTTCGACCGCCTCGGCGTCAGGATCCCCGCGCTGCTCATCTCGCCCTGGATCCAACCCGGGACAGGTAATTATTCAATTTGCGTAGTAACTGTACCGAATCAGTTGGTTCCAATAACTCGAATTATTATTATTATAGATATTATACTACGTACTTTTTTATAGTAACATGACGATGGTATGAATGTATACGCAGTGTTGCATGGACCTTCAGGGCCGTACCCCAATTCGGAGTTCGAGCACTCCTCCATTCCGGCCACCGTGAAGAAGATCTTCAACCTTCCAGAGTTTTTGACCAAGCGTGATGCTTGGGCGGGCACTTTCGAAGGCGTGTTGACTGCATCCGCTGCCAGAACCGACTGTCCACGTGAGTAAATATATATATATTTATAGCGAAAATGCTATGTAGAGTTCGAATTAATTGGATGGGGAATGATAGTGTAACCTAATCATTGATGAGTGATTTCTGTGTGACTTAATTATCTAAATCATAGACCATAACGGTGCGTATAATTTGTTGGATGTATTTTAGATGAATCATGACTGTCGATTATTGTTCCTGATTAAATTGATCTCATCAGTGTATGATATTTTAGGTTTAGAAGTATAGTATCATGTTCCAAAAAAAACTCCGATCTATTCAACGTTTAGATATCATTTTCTTACTCTGGGTTAAGATGGTTTTCCGTTTTATAGCGTTTGGGTTGAATATTCTAGTTAGGGATGGGATATTGGTTTCAGTTTAAATCCAGCAGATAACGGTTTTGGGTTTTCGGTCCCAACCCGTTTCTATCTTTTTGGTTTCGGTTTAAATCGAGAATTCGATAAGATATCGAAACAGAAACTGACAAACAATAGTCGAGCGGCGCGTAAGGGGTTTCGGTTTAACTTGGGGATGTAGTGGTTCGGTTTCGATTTAGGGGGAACACACTAAATTAGTTTGGTTTTTGGGTTTTTTTAAATGGTTTTCGATTCGGTTAACCGAACCAAAACCGAACCGACACCCCCCTGAATCTAGTTCAGGTGACTGAAAAGTTGGTGGCTTATGTACTTGTAACGCAGTGATACTGGGGGAGGCAGTGAAGCTACGAGAAGCCGACGCGAAGGAAGACGCGACCTTGAACGAATTCCAGGAGGTGATGGTGCAGATGACGGCGGCGGTGATGGGAGAGCACAAGAAGAAGAACTCCACTTACCCGGACAAGCTCGTCAAAGGGATGACGGTCGGCCAGGCCTGCAAGTTCTGCGAGAGCGGATACAACTTGTTCGTCGACGAGTGCGGGAAAGCCAGGGCCAACGGGGCCGACGAGAATGAAGTCATTTATTGCTTTGCGGAGGAAGAAGAAGAAGCAGCAGCCGCCAAGCCCAATAAGTCTGCCGTCCAGAGATTCTTCTCCTGCTTTGTCTGCGGCAGGAGCTGAAGGCAGACTGAGACTGGGGAGTGTCTAGTTTGCTGCTTTGTGTGTGTACGTAAATGTATCTCTTTGTTGTTTGTTGATTCTTCTTGTTTCAAGGGAGATTGGATGTAATTCGTTTTGTTTCGTAGATGCATACTTGTTGTGGAAATTGTGGATTTTAGATTTGTAAGTGATTATCATTTATTTTTTATATAATACAAACAGTTTTATTTGTCAGGATTCGAATAAGATTTGTATCGATTAAAAGTTTTGATATACGCGGTTGAGAATTGTCCGATTTTGCCCAATCAATAACTTGAGTTGTTCAAAAATAAGTCCACTAGCAATCCTTTACCGTTCTATTACACATTCTACATTGTCCATTTTATCAACAACCACATAACTCCTACTCTTTAGGGCTTTTTTCCCTAAATACACATGTTCATAAAAAAATTCCAAAATGTATACAATATAATTTTTTCTCAATGCACAGTGAAGACGTTCACCTCTTTTCTCGGTTACGGTGAATACATCACCGTTTTAATGAAACACAGTGAAGGGCTTTTAACCATCACCACTGTTGTGGAAAACGATGAAGGGCTCACCGCATGTGTTCAACGCAGTGAAGGGCTCACCGCTTGCGTGCAACGCTGTGACGCGTCGGATATGAGAAGAAAATCATAATCCGCACCTCACCACATCGGATGACTACGATGAAAGGGCGGGGGACGCGGACCACTGACATGGATCGCAACGCATTCACTGTTGTTCATACACGCGGTGAATGGACTGTGTTCCACGTCAGCGGTCTGCGTCACCCCACCTCTTCACCGCCTCCGTTGGATGCAGTGAGATGCGGATTATAGTTTTCCTCCCAGATCCGACGTCTCACAACGTCCCACGTCTGTAATCCTCGCGCATCACCACGTTTGAGGAAAGCGGGGTATTCACTGCAGTCGACTGCTGCGGAGATTGCACTGTCTCTCTCCAGCGGATCCTCCTCCTATAAATTCCACCCCTCCCCCCATTCCAAACCACACAATTCTTCTTTCTGCCTCCCTTCCTCCAGTACTCTAGTTTCGTTCTAAGTATGTTTGTGGTTGCGGCTAAGCCCGATCTTCCGCATCATAAAGAATTGCTAGAGTTATATCCTACACCCCTCCCCTCTAAAAACTCGTCGGACCTCTGTTCGAATATGGACGAAGAGGCTCTTAGGGTACGTATTTGCTTATACAAATCCTGTATGCACAAATGTTAAGCAGTTCTTGTCACGTGAATCTCGACTCAATTTTCAACATAGTGGATTCACCATCTTCATAATCGATCCCAATGTCAGAGTTTGTCACCCGATCATTTCACCGAATAATAAGCTAGAGCTTCTTGAATTTACTCATGTATGCAATTTATAATAAGTAGCGATTATCTTTAATCGAAACATTTAGTATAATTAGTACTTAGGGCGGCACATACATAATGTATAACATAATTTAGGGCTACCGAAATAATAGAATCCAAAACCATAAACATCCACAACTAACTAATCGAAACATGTAGCCATATTAACATTACTAGTTGTAATAGTGACTTAGACTCAAATGAGAATAATTTAAAGGTAGAGTTTTAGAAGGAACATAGTAGAAAGTCATACTTGCGCACAGTTGCTCGACAACCATTAGTAACATTAACCTTCCATGTAATTTGATGGGGTTTATGAGTTGAGTAATTGTTGTTGAGTTGAGCTGTATGCTTCTTTAATAAAGTTTGACGGTAGAATGATATTATTGTGTACTTGTGTTTGATTGAGTTGATTATGTATTGATATATATCTATGTTAAATTATCTTTTATTCAATTATAACAATTTAAGAAAAGATTACGAAAAATTATAGAAAATTTCACAATATAATGAAGTAGGTCTTGTGTTGATTAGGTTATCGATTGGTTATTTTGGTATAACATTGTCAGATCACTTGGTTAACGTTATTCGGTTAACTGACAAAATAACCGAGAACTGACTATACGGTTAACCGACTAATTTAAACAGTACGGTTAACGGTCGATAACTGGCTAAACGGTTCCGGTTATAACCGAACCGATGATAATCTCTAGTTTGGGGTGTTCCAGACACCCCTAAAATTTGAAAAACTGATTATTCAATTCCGGTAGTAGTTTGCGTATGGGTAAAAAGATATATATATATATATATATATATATATATATATAATATATATATAAGTGGTAGACTAGGTGATTTGAATCGAAGACACTATTATTATTGGTGAACATGTTTTTCATTAGGCTACAACTCATTTGTTGTATTTTAAACACAAGTCTAGTAGTAAAATTGCTATTCCTTACCCCACTTATTTCCAAAATCTTATAATTACACCAATTACGGGCTACCCTTATTCCATCCATTCTATCATATTCGTTGGTTTATTCGCTTCTCAAAGTTATTGATTTTACCGATAGCAACTACAAGTTTTGAAATAACATTTTCAGCTTTAGGATACTTTAACACAAGTTTTGGAATTGAATAAGCAATCAATTTGTGAATGATTGTATAGAAAGATACAATGTAGTCAAAAGCGTGTTTCTATGTATAAGCGTAAAACTGTGAGTTTTTAAGATTGAAAGCGCGTTTTTAACTATATTAGTTATAAAAAGTGAGTTTTTATGTAGAAGCGTTTTGGTTACCTAGAAGCGTAAAAGCGTAAGATACTAAGTTTTTAAATTTTAAAGCGTGATTTTGACTATATTGGTAAGATAGACAGATTTGTTGAGTCGGATAGACACTTAGTGTATATTACTTTTTCAGAGCATGAAAAATCTATTGTTATAACTTGTACTAGTTAGATATTTTTTTATTTAAAAATTATTTAATGATTAAAAGAGAAAACATCTATATAAAATTTCTAACTCCGCCAGTTACCTTTTGACATGATTGCTACTCGAGGTAAACTCATCAGTTGAGGGAAAGAGGTGCAAGCAGGCTCTCTGTTTTGTTCTGATGTGGTAGAGACAGAGCACCTGTTTTTTGGTTGTATGTATCCCAAGGCTCTAGCAAACAAGTATCCCGAAGTACTAGGGGTGGCTATTTGGACCGGGACCGGATTAAAAACCGGAAACCAGATCGTATAACCCGGACCGAGACCAGATAGTAAACAATCCAATCCAATCTTTGGGCTTAGATTTGAGGTAAAAAACCGGATAAAGACCGGATAAGAGAGCTCAACACCCAAAACTTAAGGGTAATTTGCATAAACGGTCACAAACCTTTGCACTTAGTACAAAACTTAACCAACTCCTCGCCCTTTAAGGCCTTAGGCCACTCAAATCCCACAATCTCAATGTAAAATCAAGAGCAAATTGGGACCGGACCGGATCAAGACCGGACTGTATCCAATCCAATCTTCGGTCCTTATATTTTCAAAAAGACCGGACTGGACCGGATCAATTTGGGCCAATTTAACCAGACCGGACCGTATAGCCACCCCTACTAAGTACCAGTTTGTATTCAGTAATTTCTACCCAACAAGCCAAACCCAAATCGATATTTCGTTTTTTTATAACATCTTATATAAATCAAGTTTTAAAAGTAGTGCCACAAGCCTGAGGCTCCGAATCTCTTACAAAATTATATCCATGTTTAGGAATAGGATTCATGTGCGCTATAGGAACGACCAACACATGTTAATAGTCAACCCTGTAAATTTATATGTGTTGATGCCAAGCTCCGAGGAGCCTGCTTCAATGTGTTTGAGGTCCGGTGAGCGCCGATCTTCCTGGTCAACGTCCGCCATCAGCCTCCGAGATGGACACCTGCAAAACAAAAGGACCCGCCGGTCGGTGTGCCGGCGGGGACCTGCTCCGAAGCTCAAGTCAGTATTGAGAGGAGAGTAACCGGGAGCGACATATTGAGCCGGCTCTTGAGAGATTTAGAAGTTCAACTCGAAAATGAACTGCCTAGAAAACAGAAATGAACGACCTATTTATAGGTGCTTCCTGCTCCTCGTATGGATGGCGTATAAAGAATAATATAAAAATTACTTCCATCTACCAACTAACACGCTGAGTGCAATGGTGAGTTGAGAAAATGCATTAGCTCAACCAATCCGATAGGGTAATGGATGGTTGAGAACAACAAAGGAAAAACAAGCACATATAACTACAAGGAATAAAGGAACACACACTTACCTTCTGCCTTTTTATGTCCACGTGTAAGTGTGAAGGGTGGTAAACTAAGACACATACACCTCTCATCTTCTGCTTTTCCTACGTGTAAGTAGAGTGTGGGGTGGTTTGCATATATACCCTTAATTCATCTCATGTATTACTTGGCATTAAGGGGAGATGGGAGGTTAAATGTGTTTTGCCTATATTCCACCTCATGTTTACGTGGCTTTAGGAGGAATGAGTGGCATGTGTTGTTTGCTGGAAGATTAAATAGATTGATCCATCATATTCACCATCACCCTAATTAAATATATCAAGCGCATAACACTTACCTCAGCTCCTCATTATCCACCACGCATGATGTAAAGAGAGATCGTGTTGTGCTAGCTTCGGTGTAAAGAGAGTAGTGGGTTGTTTGTGATCAAGCGGACAAGTGGAAGAGATAGGTAGTTTATGATGGGGAAATGAAGACAAAGAGCTCAACTATGGCTTTCTCCCTTAAAGCCACGTGGGTGAGCCTAAAAGAAGAGTTACCTTGTGTGTTTACTTGATTGAGGGGGAGTTAAAAACATATTTTCATTCACCATTAACTCGTAAAAGTCCCTTCCATGTGTAGAAAGGGTAGGCTAGCTTTGTGTTTGTTTCATTCGCTTGAAAGAAGTGGAAAACAATAGCAAGCAATCAGATAAAAGCATAAGGTGGCCTTTCTTTCTTATTCCATGTGGGTTTACCATGGGAAGTGAATTTGGTGTTTATGCTTGATGTATATAGAGAAAACACAAATGCAACACCAATTGCATTTGTTAGTAGCTCTATGTGTAAAGAAGAAGAAAAAGGTGTATTTTGTGAATTTTTTGTGTGACTAATTGATTCTCGATAAAATTAATGTGATATGATGTCGGTTGAATACAGGGTTCATCAATTGCCCCCTTACCAATAGAAAAATTAAGGTTAAGCCAAAGTTTTCTATTGGTAACAAATCACTAGGTGAGTGATTTAAATCATGGCATGCATAGCCGACAGAAATTGTGCGAGCAATTATTGGAGAGTCGTGCCAGTCATGATTGATGATCCATACCATCATGTCAAGCGATTATGGAAACCGTGTCAATTGTGACAGGCAGGCCGCACTAGTCGTAGTGGGCACCATGGAGAATCGTGACAATCATAGTAGACGACCAAACCAATCATGGCAAGCGACAAATGCCAATCATTGCGGGCTTATGTTGTGCGTTTAGTGTTGTCCGTGTATGAGTGATAAGGACAATATTTTGGGTTATGCAACATCATAGGAGAATTTTGATATCAAGTATAGTTGAGAGTTTGGAGGGATTACCAGATAGTTTTTGAGTTTACAAAAACTTTCTCATACTTGGATTTTCCTCGATTGGAGCATGAGAAGGGAAGAGGTTCCCCTGCCAGATTGGTGATGATGATGCAAAAGTTGTCCCGTCAAGATTCGGAAGAGATGGAGGCAGAGTGGTGTGGGTGATAAAGTGGATCTTTTTCACAATAGCAATTCACGGGGAATTGAACCCTTGACCTCATTGATGGAGGTGTGCCTACATAAAAAGTAGACCACATAGGCTTCCTCGATAAAACGTAGGTCTTACGAAAGGCGAACCTAAACCGGTGCCCCCATGGCCTCGTTGTGAATTCCACGACATCAGGTTTCTCCACCATCTCTCCTAGCGGGTTTGACATTGACAATGATAATTTGTAAAAAATTTCACCAAGATCCATAGCAAGCGCAAATTATTGATGGAACTTTTCGTCTAGGCCCACTATAGGTGCCAATTGTTGATGTCAGGGCGTCATTCCATGAGAGGACTTGAGGATCCTATGATTTCGCGGCAAATCAACGGAGAAACTAGTGGGGTTGAGGGCGCGCAGTTCCGGACCAAAGATTGACACAACTCAATCTTGGTCGAGAGATCCTCGATTCTTCGAAATAGCAAATTGATTGATGTTTGGATTTGTATCTTGACGAATCCCTTCTTCGGGTTGCATATCCTGCATGCCCATCTTGTTGGGATCACGATGCCCAGTTTGTATTCAGTAATTTCTACCCAACAAGCCAAACCCAAATCGATATTTCTTTTTTTTATAGCATCTTATATAGATCAAGTTTTAAAAGTAGTGCCCGAATCTATTACAAAATTATATCCATGTTTAGGAGTAGGATTCATGTGCTATAGGAACGACCGACACATGTTAATAGTCAACCCTGTAAATTTATATGATTCGATTAGTGATGGCAATTTAAACCCGTCCTGCAGGTATTATCCTATCTGACCCGCGATGGAATGGGTATTACCCGGCCCGCAGTAGCGTAGGGTGGGCATGGGTATCTACTTTCGACCCGTCCTGCCCCGCCCTATTCTAGACTAATTTATCTCAATTTCTTTTAGTATTCATACATATTCATCCTATTTTAGTCTTATTCAACTAATAGAGTCATCTTTCAACTGGTCAAACTCAATTACCCATTCTATTATCACTATTTTTCATTCATAAAGTATTTTTCCTTCATTTTATCGTAAAAGTAAAATTTGCATGTATTTTTTTTCAATAACAAGTAAGATTGGATCGATCCACCCCGTACCCGCCCCGTCCCGTAGTAGCGTGGGGCGGGGCATGGGAATTGAGGTCCCCACCCCGCCCCATTGCCATCACTAGATACGACAACTAAGATTATTTTCAACTCAATAATATATATAGACTTCCAAGTTGGAAGAAAAAAAAAGAGATGAAATATAACAAAAGGAAATTGATCACACACCATTCTTGATTTAATACATATAGAACTTAGAGAAGAGAACCTAAGAAAACCATACACATATATTAATCTTTCATGAGACGTGACAGTACCATATATATCGTACCGTCACTTATACATCTCAATTTTATTTTTAACGATGTATCACAGAACCAGCGACCCGATCGATTATGAGAATGCAAACCACATCATCTTCTAAATGATGAGTTGTGGGATAATCAGTAATCAGCAACGAGGTAAAGGCACCCCACAGGCACTAGCAACCTTTCTTGCCCCAGGGGAGCTGAGGTACTGCCTGAAGTTTGGGTTCTTGAGGTACACGCAAAGGCAGGGCCCCTGCTGCCTCAGGTTCCCGCAGCACTGCCCTGTCGGCGGCGCCGACGTCGATATCGCCGGCAGGCAGGAGCTCAGCTGCGACGGGTTGCACGCCTGCAGCGACGGCCCATTGACTCCGGCGCTACCCTCCGCCGCCGCCGCCACCGTCGCGATCATAACCGCCGCCACCGCGAAGAGGGCGAGGCAGCGGACCATGGTGGTGGATGCCATTTTGCGTTGGAAAAGAGTTTGAAAATTTGGTGGGGAATGGTTTGTTTGTTTGTTTGTGGTGTTGTAGATGGTGTGAGCCAAAATGTGTGGAGCGGCAGTGGAATTTATAGGGAGAAATGCAACCGACAATGTTATTATTATTATATTTTTCTTTTTCTTCTTCTGGTTTTGAGGGTAGGCCGGTAGGGGCAAGAGGAGAGTTTTGAGTTATTCGCATTATGAATGAAATAATAATAATCTACAAAAGAAATTTAACAATGCTATATAGTATTGGTGCTATAGGTTTTTGCTTTTATGATACAACTTAAAATTGTACATTTACGTTATGGTACAACTTCAGATTGTACCTATACCTTTTGTGCAAATTCTTTTACGGTACAACTTGAACTTGTACCGTTATGTGATGGTACAACTTCAAGTTGTAAAGTTGTACCATAACATAATGCTACAAATTGCTTTATGGTACAACCTAAACTTATACATTTAAGTTATGGTACAACTTTGAGTTGTACATTAAAGCACCAATGCTATATAGCATAGTAGAAGTGCTCAATCTACAATGCTTCCTCATTTCAGTTAAAATAATTAATAACTTACTCAATACTTAATGACAATAACATAGCTCACGACTTCATAGAATCATAGCTCATAAAGTTCTTGTGCTATTGAAAACATTGATATAGAAAATTAATTTCGTAGTTGACGTTAATTTTCTCCTTTAATATTGACATCCTAGCTCCATCTAGTACAGTTTAGGAGAGACTTATATGTCGCATTACTCCATTGATGTGTTCCAGCATCTAATTAAGCGTGAAACCCCCTAAGCAAGATGTTTTGTCATTACCTTACGCGTAGACATGCCTAAGCGTAAGGTTAAACGTGCCTTTTTTAACCATGATTTTAACTAAAGACCCATCTAAAATTCCAATTCAACGTGTAGAGCCGAACATAACCCCTTCACATGTGTGAATCCAAACATTGCTGAAACTTACGAAGTACCATTACCAAATATTACAATTGATCACATCCTTTTCAACCCAGATTTGACCATAAAGCATACTGATGGATCAAGTTACGGTTTATTTTTTTTCACCTTTCACATCTACTTTATGATAGTGAATATCTTATTGTTAGAGTATAATTCAAGTACCACATCGAAAAATAATTGAAAGAATCCTAACGGATCTGCCCGATTTCGAGATTTATGTTACGTTACTGGTGGCCCATATTCGATCCGATAGGCAGCACCATCACCATGCACCACTCAGTCTCACCATACAACACATGCAAGAGGATGGGACTTCATTAACCTTTACTGATGAGCGTCGTATTCACACTTTATTATTATTGTTCATTAAATGATAAATTATTCTGTCCCATCTCCCATCCATAACCCCGACCTACTTCTTCCTTACCTTTCCTGCCGGTGGCCGGAGCTTTAAATTTTGTGTACTGTTATTTCCATATCCATGGCGCCTGTATACATCGAACTTAAACACAGAGACGGTCTAAAATTAGGTTGCCGACAAGGTTTGAAAGGGTAAGGTGGCGAAAATGGAGATCTAAGTTACGTGTCGAATATTGTTTGGTAAAGAAACAGTGAAGAGTGTACTAAATAAGCTGGTGAGATGTAAATGATAAACAGGGGAAATGATAGTGAAGACTAATATGAAAAAGGATATGGTATCTACTACCATTAGTGATAGACAATTCGATAAGTACGTTGTGTATGTTATTCGACCTGATTCGTGCCTGGAGCGAGTGATATTCTATCCACGGTAGTATATATGGAGCAGGGCATGTGTATATCACTTTTGATTTATCTTGTTCTGTCTTTTTTTTTTATTCGTTCTATCTCGTTTTGTCTTGATATCTTTTTATCTCAATCAATCTACCTAATTATCTCTATTTTCATTTACAAAATGCAGTTTCCTTTGTTTTTATCATATTAAGAAATACATGTTTTCTTCAAACAATATATATAAGAATTAGTCGACCCGCCCCGAACCATACCCGCGCGAGTGGGTATTATTCAAACTTGATCCGTGTTTGGTTTGAGGCAGGTCTGTGTATTGAGGTGCCCACCCCATCCATTTCTTCAAATAATTATAGAAGTAACTAAAATTAAGTAAACTAATTAACTACTAATCATAATAAGACATAGCTTGTACAGTTAGTAATGAAATGGAATCCAATTCCTGAAGTAGTAGTAGTCTCTTCACCCATACAACCTCTCGCAAATGAGATGGGCGAGAACTCTGTATTTAATTACCTTCAAAGGACAAACGATGAACAATCCAATGGATTTCCAAATGATTTTAAGACCATTATCGGTTAAACTTCTTGTCTCACATGAAGCCAATCTGAATCACTATACCCACACAGAAAGAAGGTGTGGTTTTGATAGATAGCTAGAACAATCCAATGGACCATTCTTAGAATCCTTAAATCAAGCCGCATATGTGTGGTTTGGGAAGCTTGATACAAGCACAGTTGTTGAACAACAAAGGTAAGATTAACATGTATAATTGTTAGAAACCGATTTCTGAGGGTTTCTTTATTTATTATTATCATCATTATTAGAATAATTTTATTATGGTTAGTGGTCTATAAGTAGAATTAGATTTATTATTAGGGTTTTCCAGCATTTAAGAGAAAATAAAAAAAAATTATTAAGAAAATCTCCTAAACCCTATTCTCTCCCAAATCCTTTCAAATTCTCTTCTCTATCTATCCTGGCCGCCGGCCATTCTATCTCTGTTCTTCCCCAATTCTCTTATCAATCTCTAATTCTACCCTTTCTAATCCCTAAATTTTCAAATATCACCCAATCCATAATCCATTAGAAACTTTGTTTCTAACAATAGTGGTGAGATAGTGTGAGTGTCGGTAGTGAGTGATTACTGGCTTGGAATCAGATATCCAGTGTCCTCCTCTAGGCTCTAACAAAGTCAGTGTAAACATTTTAAAGCGTCCATAGCATTCACATCACCATCAATAATTATGATGATGTCATCTACATACACCATAAGAATAGAAGTAATCTTGACGAACCACTACCTCGAGGCCTTTTTAAATTATAGAGTGATTTCTTGAGACAGCAAACCTATACAATATCGGATATTCTAGGAGGGATGATGACACTTAAAAGCATACTTTTTTACACTATTTTAACCGTATCTTTAGTGTGTGTTTGGATAGAATGATTTGGGTTTGGTATTTGTGATTTGTGATTTGGATTTCTAAATGTCATATCATGTGCTTGGATATTAATTACATTTGGTATTTGAATTTGTGCCAAATTCATGGGACGATTTCCAAATACATGTCTTGTGTATTACTTGTCAACTTCAAATACATTTTCAACAACTAGTGATTTGAAATACCTCCTGACAAAATATTGGACCTATTTTGTAAAATATTAGAAGTTTAGATATTATAGTGCGAGGAAAAACTTATAAAGCTACCAAAACATAATTTCACCATCAAAAATTTTGGACCTTTTTGAAAAAATTTAAAATTTTAGGTACTAAATTGTAAGGAAAAATTAATTTGGGTATCAAACTATAATTTAGCAAAATTTGTAGTAAGTGACAGAAAATTCAAAATTAAAATAAAAACAAATTACAAATTAGTATCCAAACAACGAATTTGAATTATATGTATTTCAAATACTTTACATTTGAAGTACACCTATCCAAACGCACCCTTAATCATTTTGATTTGGATTTGCTTGATATACGCTCAAAATTTTGGTAGCCTAGCCTCTAAGATTGATTTACACATTTGATTCCTTTTCAGATAGTTTTTTGGTAATGTATATGTTTTATCCAAACCTATTAAAATTCTATTAATTAGCCTAATCTTTCGTAATGGATCAGAATATTGGCAATTTTTACGTTATCGTTAATAATTTTGTAACTCTTTTCTTAGGTAAAATTCTAAAATTTTGGAATGTTGACCTTCATGTGTCTCTTCCAAGTCAGTATCATGTTGCCAAATCAATATTGTAATTAATTTCTTGTTTACCTTGATTAGTTTATCCATATTGCTTATGATTCATATTTGTGTTCGTATGAGATTGGTTAGAAATGACTTGTGTGATTTTAGGACACCCATACATGTTTGATAGTTAAACTTACAACAGAGAAATCCATAGAATAGATTAACTATCTGCATGCCACACTAATCCACCTCCAAATGAGAAATCTACTAGAGTAGGATATTGTCTAAGTTATGTTCGAGTTGCATGTCAATCTGGAAGCTCTAGGGGAAGCAACACCTAGACAAAGACCTTTACTTTCTACTTTACATCCTCTTTAGATTGCATTTTACTCACGTCTTGCTTGTATGTAGCTTTTGTTACTTTGTGAATCGTTTTGGTTTCGATTGGCTTGGCGAATTTGAGATACCTCAATCTCAAATATAGAATAACATAACGATCACTTTGAAATAGTGTGATTTGAAAGATCACTCGAGAATACGTCCATGGTAGCCTTCTCCGCATCAAAGTTAGATTTGGACCCTACACTACATCATATCAAAGGAAGATCCATGTAAACTTATTCATCAAGATCTCTATGTAAGAAGGCATCGCTTACATCTAATTGAATAAACTCCAATCTTTGGAAGAAACAAGAGTTAAAAGAGACTTAATAGAGTTTAACTTGGCAAATGGACAGTTTGTACCAAGGATTTCAATGGCATAAATTTTTCTAAAGCCTTTGGAAGATTGAAACTCAATGGAAAAGAGCTTTGGCTAAAGATTGTGAAGGAATTGACTGAGGGCGACTAATCTTGGAAGACTTCAAACGAGAGACTTGAAGATTGCATGGAAGCCTCTTTGTTTACTTGCGTTGGAAGTCATCTTGCTTATTATGGAAGAAACTGTTTTGGTTGAGTCCTTTACCTTTTCAAGTTGGGTTTCCTTCTTTAATTCAGTATCCTAGCTAGATTTTTTCTCCTAGTTGGTAGTATAATGTGTTTAGAGTAGTTTCTTTCTATTTAAAGGCCTTAAGCCGAGTTGTAAGAACCATCTTTTATCAATTGAATTTCATCTTTGGTTCATTTAATAGTTCTTCGCTCATGAATTGGTGCTTGTTGTTGGTGGACTCCAACCAACGAGTGGTCTCTGTATCAATCGAGTTTTCCCCTTGATTGTGGTCGAGCTTCTACCCATATTGAACGAGCATTTCCCAAGTGTGGAATTGCACGTCAACCCCATCAAATGGCAGTGGACAACCTATCTATGGAAGAGGACATGCTTTTCTAGACAGAATCCTCGAATGGCAAGTTTACGACAAAATCGACATTCAAGCTTCTCAATACCTCACCTCCGGACCCAGATGAGAGATACTGAAAACGATATGGAGTTTGCCGGTTCTCGAAAGGATCAAAGTTTTCATATGGAATGTTATGTTGGAAAGAATCGCGACCAACTCGCTCAGAGTATCCTAGAAAATTGCCTCAGACCCTTGTTGCGCCCGCTGTCAAGAAGTTTCGGAGACAATCATACATGTATTAAGAGACTGCCCCATTGCTACTTTCTTCTGGTCACGACAAGTCGAAGCCAGCAAGCAGGGGAGATTCTTCAGCCTTCACCAAGCCGATTGGCTTCGAAAGAATTTGGCAAACACAGAGAGCAGCGCGATTGGGATGCCGTGGGCGGGGTTCTTTGCCACATTAGACTGGCTCCTTTGGAAGAACAGGTGCACCACGACGTTCAAAGGGGCAGCAACAGCTCTTGGCCCTGACTCATTCGATCATAGCCAAGGCCAAGTTGTGGTATGCAGCGTGGACAGCGCCAGACTCGGAACTGGGAAATCAACGGCGGAAAGGGACCCTCATCACTGCCAGCATCGGCTGGACATTCCCGCTAGAGGGTTGGATGACTTTGAATGTTGATGGGGCTTCATGTGGAAATCCCGGCGCGGCGGGTGCAGGAGGGCTGATTCGCGATTCCACAGGGAGGTGGAGAGTTGGATTCGTGGCAAACATTGGATCTGCGTCAGCTGCCCCTAGAGGAAATTTGGGCAATGTTCTATGGACTCGAGCTTGCTTGGAAGGAAGGTCATCGTGCCATCATCGTACAATCAGACTCCCAGCTGGCGATTCAACTCGTCAATGACAAACAAGATCCAGTGCATCCTTATGCAATTTTGCTTGCAGCGATTCGTCGCCAGGTAAGTCGAGATTGACTGGTTCGCATCACTCATACGTACGAAGAAGGAAATATATAGAGCCACGGACTGGCTCTCGAAGCACAATCTCGTCCATCCCTTCGATATATATGAGCTTGCGGACCCGCCAACAGGCTTGACCTCGATTCTGCGTGATGATATGATGGGTATTCGCTTAGAGAAGAGGGTTGTCTCCAGCTCTCTTTCCCCATCTTCCTAATCCCCCTTGTAATTTCTTGGCTTCCGCCTCATGCTTCACGCAAAACAAAACCCCATCAAAACTGAAAGAACCTCATATGGTGTTTTGGTTTCAAAAGCAATAGTAGTTAATTGATTGATCATATAAACAACATGCAAAACAAAAATGTGACTATAACTTTAGTGATAAAATAGATTGAAATTTCAACGACCGGCAAGCATTGAGAATATTTCTCCATATATTAACATATTTTAGATAAAAACATAATTTTCTAAACACTGGATCTTGAAGGAAAATGAAGGCATTTTCGCATAGCAAAGTGACAGACATCACAGAATGTAAAATTCTACATCTATTGTATGAATAGGCTTTTGCAGCTCCTTGGCTAAAATAAAAGATGGGTGAACAAGTTTCTAATGCCATTAATCAAATGATCGAGAATAAAGAATTGGTGTCTTGATGGAAATGACAAGTAATATTTGGTCTTTTGTGTGCCTTGCGAGTTGGTTGGTAAGGCCTCTAACATAAGTTCTAGGATCCACATAGGTTGGATTTTAATAGTGCACAAAATTAACATAATAGGAAGGTAATGGTAAACATTATATATAACTTAAAACATAAAAAATAAACATTAAGTCAAGATGGCCGAGTTGGTCTAAGGCGCCAGTTTCAGGTACTGGTCCGAAAGGGCATGGGTTCAAATCCCATTCTTGACAAACATTTTGGTCCATTTCCAATGGAGTGATTTGATTCCAGCTAGTGTCGTACATGGTTAATTTGTTATCCAAGTAAACCAAAAAACACCAATCAATTTATTAACTGACCAAGGAATCAGTCTTCATAAGGTTCTAATAAAGGAAAATCACACTACTATAACCCATTCTTGACAAAAAAAAATTTGGTCCATTCCAATGGATTGATTTGATTCCAGCTAGTGTCGGGCATGGTTAAGTTTGTTATCCAGATTACGTTCCACTTTAACACATACCAAAATAACACATACCAAAATAAGAAATGCAGGTTAGAAGAACTTAAATTTAACACATAACAAAATAAGAAATGCAAGTTAGAAGAACTTAAATATGAGTAAAAAATATATTAACCGTAAACCAAAAAACACCAATCAATTTATTAACTGACCAAGAAATCAGTCTTCATAAGTTTCTGATAAAGGAAAATCAAACTACTATAACCCTCTTCAGAAAAGAAGACTGACTAACCATCACAAGGAACTAAAGAAATTTCTAACTGGCTGCCCAAGATGTCCAATAAATGAATGCTGAAAAGGAACAAGGAGTTATGTCAGGCTTTTCCACAGATAAATGCACCAGGTGCTCTCGTATACAATCGTTTCATCGTCCAAGTTCTCAAATCTCAATCCTGTTCCTTGGCACTCCTGTGCACAATCGGTGGATAAAAAAGACTTTCAAAATTTCCATGCTTGTGTGAGAGAACTGAGAGAAGACACTGTCAGCTCCTAATGTGGTGCTTCATCTGGGTTCTTCCCTTTACCCCTCAGCATGTCGGTGAAGTTACCCCTCATGATTCGCATGAATCTTGTATCTTCTGCTGGTTGGGGAGGAAGCGTTGCAGCAGCATTGGGAGATGGAGGCGCCGACTGTTGTGGAGATGATTCTGCAGTTTCTTTCTTCCCCAACAGCCCGCTTTCTCCGAAGAAACTGGTAACCGATGATGCTATCCCAGTCCCTAGATGAGCTCCCATCACCTTGCTTATGGTGTCCAAGGTCCCACCTGATCTTTCCTTCATTATTATCTCAAGGGCTTCCTTGTGAGCTGGGTCTAGGGCTTCTGGATCCTTTAGCATGTTTTGTATCGCTGGCAGCAGGTATTCACGCACACTGTTAACCGAGAGATCTGCAGCGAGCGGAGATCAGAATGAACGTATCAAATGAGCAGTTGGGCACACACTTATTTATGTCTGTTTCAGGTCTAAAGAAGGACAGATCGACACAAGAAGTCAAACCTGTGGCATCCAGGGCACGAATTGCTTCACAGAATGCATTAGCCCTCTCCCCGCGACGAGTAATGTCACCTGGTGATGTTGGGACAGCAGAGAAATGGAAAATTTTCGAAAGGAGATGTAAGGAACGTTAAGGAAACAAGTGACCTACAGTGGTAATCTGTACAGAACACAAATTGATGCAAGTAATGGCGATTCTGAAATTTGAGGATATAATCTCTAAGACGCTCAGTTGTATGTGGCACGGCTACTGATAATGCTCGGACAACAGCTATTGTTGCTTCATGTGATCCGTCATCCAGAAAGGCATCCATTTGAACTCGTATCTTATCAACAATCTGAAAGATGATGATAGAGTTAAATAAATACTTGGGCAGGCCAGAAATTACCACAATAACCAGTATTCAGATGAAGGGAAACCATATTCCCTACCACATCGTTCTTGAAATGTTGTGCCACAGCTCCAAATGATTCTATGCTGACATACTTCACTTTCAGATTCGGGTCGGACCCTAGAGTTACCAGGGCAGGTACCACGTGGGTTGAAGCAACCTTTGTATCGACGTATGGCACCTAAGAATGAAACAAGGACAGAATTAAGAGGCTTCCAGATAGATGGTGTAAGCTGGAAACGATGGCATTTCAGAGACAAAAATACTTACGATAACTTTTAACAGATTGGCAGCGTTGATTTTCATATCCACACTTGAGCTAACAACCATTTCCCACAAGATGTTGAATATCATGCCGTGGTGCTGTTCAAAAGTACTGCATCATGGAGAAAAAATTGAGTTCGTTAGTCAAGAAAAAAAATTAAAGTCAGGCAGTTAAACACCACTGAAATCAAGTCTAGCATACAAACCACAGAAACCGAACAGCATCAATGACATCAGCGTAGCGCCTAGTTGATTGATTCTCATTCAGGTAGTTATCAACTAACAGCTTTCTCAAGTAGTCTTCTAGCTGATCACGTTTACTGGGAGAACCTAAAATGCCTGCCAAGAGAAGTGGTAGAACACACGTTGTAGCCAGTCTTGTAGCAACAACACTTTTAGGCCTCAAACCTGCAAAAATAGTAAAATACTATTAGCATTTAGAGCAACCTACTCGCATGTAAGTTGTTCAAACAGAATAATGAAGGGGGTTCATACCTTTGATTCTCGAATGTATAGCTGAAGGGAAAAAGGTAAAGTCAGCATCATCACCGACGGCTACCAAGAATACAGGCAGCATTATATGAACACGATACGAATCCCCATAACTTTGTCCAACAGCTAATAAGAACTACAAACAAACCTGTGTCAGCAAAACTGCAAGATAGCATAATCGTTGAATGAAAAGGAAAATACAAATATGAGGAAACAGAATGAATACCAAAAGAACAACCTACCTTTGTAATTCTGTTTCTCAGATTGTCCTCCTTCCGATGTAACATGCACGACAGGTTTATCAGGTGAGAAAAGCAGTCCACATGCATCCATTCAAACGCAGGCCATTCCACATGCCCCCTACTGAAGTGATTAAAGATTTCTCAGGAGCAATGGGGATATAACAGATTCTAAAAAGAGAGGAAACATAATAAGGACCTTGGAAACTGAAATGTCATGGATTCAAATTTGTACAATGGCAGTTAAAGAGCTATACGGTAAGTTGGGAAAGAAGAAAATATCTATCTCACCCTGCATACAGGTCTAGCAAGGCATCAGAAAAGGTGTTGTCATTTGACTCCAAAACAGGAGGAAAAGGACAAGTGTCAGTGGCCTTTTGACGGATTAGTGGAAGTAACTCAATTAGCATTCTCAATAGAACATCAAGATTCCAGCGTTCACGTTCTCCTAAGACCCGTAGATGCGACTCCAGTGAGCCTTCAACACCAGAAATAGGAGGGCAACGCTGGGAAGGTAGTTTTCCAAATAATGTGAGAAAAAAGAGCACAAGGTAATTGAACCGTAATTCTAGTGAAACAAGCATATACCTGAGCACAGCTTAAGGCATGAGACAGCAAAACTTTCAAAACATGTTCTAAATTGTTTCCCCATTTTATTACTGCAGGAACCAGCTCCCTGAGTGTAGTTTCAACCACCACCCCAGAGGGATCACAAACCAGCTGGAACACCAACTCTTCAACCTATTAACACAGAAACCAACACATTCTATAAAACTTGATTTTCATTCATTATTTTTTCTTTACTTAACAGTTTTTGCAAGTCGTGATATCATGGCATGAGGAAAAAAGCCTCATTCCCTAGACAATGTGCCATCAACTTGTCTAGAGCTTACATTTCTGTCAAATGAGAGTTCTTCTCCCTGATTGCCTCGAAGCATATTTAGTGAGGCTGACCTTGAAATATTTGTCCGCGTTTGGAAATAGTGGAAGCAGCAAAGCCAAATTATGAGCAGCAGCATCTCGAACAACACTTGCAGCATCCTCAATTAGTTGCTGCACAATAGAAAGAATTAAAGAATCCCGGATCTCAGGCCTCACAAATTCTGCAATCTGTCCACAAGATTGAGCAACAAGCAGTCTGCGCTCCTCATACATGTGATTTATCTGCAAAATAATGATGTAATACCGGGGAACTGGTGAAAAAAAAAAAAAAGGGAAACAATCCAGTGAGCCAATGAAAAACGGTAATCTGGAAAAAAAATATGGAGAGCTACAACTCACTTGTTCCCAGCACTGAGGAAGTAACTCTGTTTCTGTTCTCATCTGGCCAACATTCTTAGCCAGACTAATACAAGCCTGATGTAACAGAAGCCAACAACTAAATCAGCTACTACTTTCTATATATGTCCTCATCAAGTGTAAAGAATTTCATATAGTAGAATGTTCCATTATCTTTGGTTGATTTAAATCCAAAAAGAACATTATGATAAAAGCAAGTACGTCAAAACACGTGGAGGACCTACAGGGTTTAGGTGTTCATATTTTCTTCATAAAAAGCCTTAGCTAAATTCAGATTATACTCAGCCAATTACAATAGTTACACCACTTGTGCCTGTAATGTCACTAATTGATACATTTTCAGAGGAAAAAACTTCCATTTCTAAGAACGTGGGGCCAAGGACTTACATCCATTATGATCTGTCTCTGCTGCTCATCCGGACGTTTAATCAAATTAAATAATGTATGTGTTAATGAATCCCTAGTACTGCCGTCAGGATGACGTTCGATTGCACACATCATAAGAGGCAGGAGCTCCTGTTGCAAATCAAAGCAAGAATATCAGCCAAACATTTTTTTTTCTTTTGTTCCAGAAACAACTATGAAAATAATTATTTGTTCCTGAAGCAGGAGCAATCAACGAGCATATTAATCATAGCACACCTCTCGATGATTTATTAGAACATAGGGAACAATCTTGGGTAAGGCATCAGCAAGGATTTGAATAGTCTCTGAACCCTGAAAACAAAAATGTGTAAGATAAATTATATAATAGACCAACTATAACTATAAAATGAAATTAGAAGTTGATTTTCTTCTTCCAGAGGAAAATTAAAGCACAACATAACTACTGAATATGGGTAGAATAAATCCTTTGTGATACTGAAGCATAGCTAAAAAATTCCACAAGTAAAATGAGCTGAGCACCGTCGTTTTCAGCGAACAGTGAAAATATACAGAAAGAAGGCAAGGGATGGCCAGAATCGAAAGTAATTTTCTGAATCCAAGGATATGAATTTACCGTATTCTCTAACGACCCATCACAACCTAGGTTGTCTGATTTCACAGAAATACCAGGAGCTGGTGATGGCACGTCGCCATTTTGTTCTGAGACTCTTGGACTTTCGTCAATAGTGTTAACTTTGTCGGTAAAACTTCCTGTACTATCTTGTGGAAATCCAAATCCCTCAGGCTTAGTCATATCTCCAACAAGCGGAGGAACATCTTGCTTAACACTTTCAGCATCAGTTGGATGAGAGATTAGAGGTGTCTCTTCATCAATTTCAACAACTTTCTCTTCAGGTTGCACAGACTCTTTTCCAGAGTCGGTTCTCTCCACAGACTCGGGAGAAGTGGTACTTTTAGCTTTCAACTTCTCTATTTCTAGATGCAAAATCTTTATTTCTTCCTTGTACTTTTCAATTGACTGGGTTTCAGCAGTGTCAGTATCACCAGCCATCACATTCCTACCGGAACGATATCCCTCGATATGCATCTTCAATGAAGTGATTTCTGACCTGCAGTCATTGAGTTCCTTTCTTTGGTGCTCCAGTGACTGCTTCAACCGTTTTATCTGGGAGAAAGCTCTGTCTTACATAACTGGTTATCAAATTGCAAAGAGAATAAAGCTATTAGCGTATCTGTACCTGGTTCTCCTTGTCTTTGACATCCTTTTGAAAGGTTTCTAGTGACTTGGTCAAACCACTTATTTGATTATCTGCCAACTCCTTGTTTTTAAGAAGCCTCCCCTTTTCTTCATTCAATATCTCACTTGATTTCAGCAAAGATTCATTTTCTCGAATCATGGCAACTTTTTCCTGCAATGCAAAGTACAAACGTGTTTATGTATGCACTCTAACAACATTCACTGCAACACATCCCATCCAAGTATAATCATAGTATGAAGATTTAGAAACCTGCTGTCCAAATATATTGCTATTTAGCTCCAGAATACAAGAAATTCAGTATACACGAATCTCTGCTGTTAATGAAAATCCGCAGCTTAACAGCAAAAGAAAGTGGAATGACTTCGAGCCATTTTCAGCTCAATAACTAGCTTGTTCTGTAAGATGGGGGCTCAGCATGAGTACGAAATGAAAATGATGCTTTCCACCAATTTGAAAAGGCAATTACTGACAGAAGACTAAACCAACCTTGACCATTAAAGACAGTCATTGGTGAACTTCTGCCGAAATGAATCAAACAGAAACTAACCAAATCAACAATGAGAACAATATCAATCATTCTGATCTTGCCAGCTGGCCTCTAATAAGTCTTAACTTAAAAATGCCTGTAATCAATTCTCAACTCCCTTACATCACAACAAACAAATACAAAATCCAACTTTTCACCAGTTCGAGATTAATCAAATCAACTGTTGCACTGAATTATGCTCTCACACTTCTTCCTTCTTTTTCAAATTTCTCATAAGCACATTCATCCTCTGGGTTCGTGGAGATGTCTTACTGCATATGCCAACTCTCAACCCAATTATAAGTGGGTTTCTGGAGAGGTCTTGCTGCATATAACAACTCTTAACCCAATTATAAGCACCTAAAAGGCAGCCCAAATTGTGGTTTATCTACCTCTCTTGACAGCTTCAAAATTGAACAGGAAAAACTTCATGACACAACTTTAATGCTATTGAAGGGGACATAACAGACAAGAAAAATCGTTTTCATGATAACACGTAAAGCTTCACTTTTGTCACTTCTAAGGCAATTTGTAATTCATACAGAGTGTTTCCACGTAGTACATCAACCCAACTAACATTTTATCAGTTAAAAAGTCTTCACTGACATTAGGCCAAGCAAAGTAAGGGCGGGGATCATGTTCAATAAAGCAAAGCAACAAAATGATACTCATGTATTCAATGTGGAGAAAAATTATGTTTCAAGAAGTACCTTAGCTGCCTCTGATGTGGATGAAAGGTACTGGTAGTAGTAATGCCGCAAGGCATCTGGCACACTAGCAGGAGTGTTCTGCCAAACATCTAAATTCTGATCTGTAACCTGAGAGAGAGAATTATCAACTCAATGATTTATCGTAATAATTCAATGGGACAAATATGTGCATAACATTATTAACATGCACAAGAAAGTGAACACCTAAGGGTCGACATATCGGTAGATAGAGCAGGAAAATAACCAACCTTCCCTAGGTTCATATTTGGTGCCAACACTGAACTATAAAATGCCGAAGGATACTGTAGGCAAAAAAGCCCACTTAAGAGAACAACTGCTTGACCACCTTCTCTTCTGCACCCTTCTTAGAACAGGAAATGAATATACACAACTCTCATGCTAGTCCTAATCTTTTAAAAGCTGCATGCAATGTTTGACAGAAAGCAAACACCTTCTTATATTGGTCTAGACTTCGTTTGCAAAATGCAGAATATACTAGCAGCTCCACCAGAAAAAACAAAAATGAGATATTTCTGGAAACATTCAGTTCTGTAGTAAGCACGCATACAAATTCTCAAAGTTCATTAGTACATTTTCATGCTGATGTTAGGTTTCCACCACAGATTCCCCTAAGCTCAGAAATGCCTTAAACCCTCGTAATAACGATTTCTGTATTTTATGAACAAGATCAACAGCGTCCCAACAAGCGTTGGAAAAATTAAACAAAGAACAGGAAACACCCCCTATAAAGGCAGGTATAAATAATCCTCTAAACAGCTTTCTCGGTCTATTTATGTTTGCTCCAAAATGCTTGAGAAAAAGTAGGAAATATCAAAAGCCAAACAGAACACAATGCACAGTGATGTCTTACGTACTTCTTCGTAAAATGTCATAGCAGTAAGACGGTATCCAGCCAGTCGTAGATATTCCTGTACAGCACAATTAAGATCTCTACGCTCATTATTGTTCAGAGGACCCAAGTCAAAGGAAGAACCATCCTTTTTTCTTTTTAGAAGATCTGATCCTGGACTCCCAGCGGCATCAGGCGTCGACTCTGCAGATAAATCGAGAATATATATATAATAGCAATCAGAAAAAGCAAAACTAGTCCCAAAAAAGTTAATCAACTAGGAACAATGCAGGGATGCACAGCCTGACAAACACTCTCCGTCAACGAGGCAGTTTCTATGATTGAAACTTATCCCAAAAAGAGGGGGAAATGAACACAAGCTTCATGGTTGTTCAAATTGAGACACAGAAAGTTCATACAATAAAAAGGGGGCTCCTTACCAGTCAAATGAGTTGGAGATAACTCCACTCTCTTCTGTAACTCAGACTTCAATTTCGAAATGTCCTCTTGTGCCAACCGCAGCTCGTATTCACTGAGGGCCAATTTTTCTTGCGTTGCTTCTTTCTCCTCTAGCAAACTCTGCGGGTCTGCAACTGAATATTTCACAACAGAAGAGCAAAAGAAAGGAATGCCTCAAGTTCACGCTGCAATTCGATTAGTAGCAGAACCCTAACTTGCAAATGTAGCATGCCAAAATCTTAAATCTGAGTAATGTAGAGTCACTGAGCTAGTTCAAAAATAGAATCATGCCAAAGTAATGATCTTTCTACACTTTACGCGCCATGGCAAACTCGAAAAAACAGCAGTTGAGGGCTCTAAAATACAATCAAATAGTAGAGGCAACTGCTGTTGAGAAAAAGAAGATTAGAACCTCGGAGAGAGTTGAGGCGGGAGATCTGATCGGGAGGGAAGTTGGAAGGATTGGAGAAGAACTCCTTGAGCCGAATGGCGTGGTGATCCCTGCCGTCGTCGAGCAGCTCGTGGAGCAATTCGAACGCCGTCAGCACGTAATTCTCCTCCAGCAAGAAATTCACCACGCAATTGCACAACGAGGATCTCTCCACATCCATCATTTCTCCACTTTGGCCCTGTATATATTCCAGTCAAATCTCACTCGATCAATATGTTCCGAATTCGTTCCTCCAGCCCTTCGTCATCCAAAATTTGGCTATAGCCGTTTGGATCTGGAAAGTGCAAAAGCTTTTCCAGTGATCAAAGCGGAAGCGGCGCTGTTGCTCTTGTGGAGATTTCGCGTAGTTTGGAAGTTGCCATTATTAAATAGATGTATTGTTGAATTTGATGCATTGTAAAATACTATGTTTTATATGTATGATTGTGTATGTCGGCATAAGCTAAAAGCTGAGATAAAACAATTTTAACTCAACTATCTCAACAATCACAATCTAAAAGTTGAGATATAACAATCACTCAAAATGAGTGATAGGTTCTATCACATCACAGAAACAATCCATGTATTGTTTCTGCTAAAAAAAATAAAAAATGATGTATTGTAAACAATACATGCATAATGAGAATAACGATAGTAAATTTTGTTACTCTGTTTCTTTTTCCTCCTGATCGATTAATTGAACATGGAGAAACTCAAGATCCAGTGCTTTGCAGTATGGGAGATGGCTGGTGGATTTAGAGCTTGAGAAGAAGTAAAAATTGATGCCTCTGATATTACGAGATTAGATGGGATAGACATACCATTTAAATTTGAATAGTGCGTTGGTTATCACTAAATTTTATTATATGTGCACCCAGTACAATTTAAGTTTATAATTAAGTGCATTACGACAAAGTTTATAGAATATTCTTTGAATAATTCATTTTCTAAATTTCATAATTGAACCTTCTACTTTTCTTATTGTAAAAAAATTATTTGGACTTATGAAAAACATCATTTGTTATTGTTTAGTTAGAATCCTCTTTTGACTACTTTATACGAAATCAATTTTTGAAAATTTAGAATCAATTATCATTATAATTCTTTTCAATTATTTTTATGTGTTCTAATAATTGAATTATTCCATGAATGTTGTAACTAAACAATGTTGTAGCTTTTATAGTCATATTTTCTTTTCTATATTTTTTACCGAATGTTGTAGCTTTTATATTTTATTTATTACTGGGTTACTTTCCATCTCTTTTCGTTCTAAATATTTTCAATTAGTTGAATATGTTTAATTCTTTTTGATTGTGTTCCATTTATCTTTTTTATTTTGATGTATTGATGATCGATTAGGTTCTATTTTAACTATTTCTAGTGGTGCTCTAATTGAATTAGGAGGTTTAAATAGATATTATAATATTTATTATATATTTATTATAATATTCTAGTATATTTATTATTCTTCTTGATATTTGTTTATTATTTTTACTAATTTATCTAGTTTATTGAAAAAATTTGATTAGTCATTCTAGTAATAATATGTTTAGAAGGTTTTCTAATTATTATATTAGATAAAACTTGTTGAAATATAGTTTTGGATGTTTTTAAAAAGTTTGGATATCAAAAAGTAATCAAAAGTTTAGATTAGATGGAAAAGTTGACGAATGCACATTTTGGCGACATTAATGGTATCTGACGCCCTATTCAAACTTAAGTAGTATGTCTACTCTAATTTTAAGTTAACTTAAGTGTTACTCGAAGTATTTTACTCAATAATTGTGTACCGTAATTATCTCACCCTATGTTCCCGAAGGGCAAATAATTGTGTACAGTAATTATCTCACCCTGTGTTCCCAATCCCTTCTGCTAACGGGTTTGGTCTCCTTATCGCGATCTCAGTCTTCTACTAGCTATACTCGGTCTATTGGCAAGATCTAACTTGTGGAATCAATAAATCCAGAAATTGGTAGACGACAATTCTAGGGATGGAGCATCTCAATTAAAATTGGTAGAATCATTGTGGAAAATGGAAAATAAGAACTGAAGCAAAGAACAAAGAGAAAGTGTTGCTCACGCCTCTCTATCGCCTTTTCAACTATACTGTGACTCCACAATCTGCAGTATTGATGTCATTTAGGAGAAACAAAATCATCCATGATATACAAGACTAAGTGAGAAAACTGAAAATGCAATTGCGTGTTGAAGATAAAGAGAAAAAATGGAAGGGGAAGTTTGAGCTTAGTCTGGCTCTGGATTGTAGAACTTAGAGAAGAGAAATTTGTATTGCCTCTACTTTGGAGAAGGATAAGAGGGGGATTAAAGTGGGGAATGGTGACCGGTGGTGGAGAGATAGGAGTGAAAAAAGAAATAAAAGGAAAAATAATAAAGGAAAATAAAAAATACTAAATATTGATTAGAGTTATTTATTAGTAAATTATAATTAAAGAAGTAATTAGTAAGTGATATACGTTGCTATGTTTATTTTCTATAATAACAATTGTTCTTTATTGTTAAACATAATTTATAAAAAGATAATTATGATTTAGTAGTTATAGGTGAATATACGAAAATTGAGGGATGGCAAAATTATTCGTAACCGTGGATATCCGGAATCCGACCTAATTGGGTAGGGGTGAAACCCGAACCCAAAGAATTTTTATTGGGTACAGGTAAAACCCAAACCCGAATATTTTGAGTAATGGGTGGACATGGTTTTCTCACTATCCAACTTGAACTCGCCCGATTATACACATGCAAATTTATTTTGTCTATAAATGATCATTATTTTTTCTACCACATTTTATACTTAGCATACAAATATAATATTTTTATGAAATTGTGTTATATAATAATAAATTTAATCTATAATCTATAGTTAATGGAAATAACAAATACACAATTATATTATTTTAGTATTACATTACACAATAAAATAGCATACTTATCATATTTCGCAATATACCTTTTTTCATCTAACTTTTCATTCTCTTTACTATTACATAACCAATAAAATAACATATTCATCACACTTTTCAATACACACTTTACTTCCCACTTTCCTCCATAACAGCCTGTTTGGATGGATAAAAAAACTCAGCAATTAGAATTCCATTTTCAATTCTATTTCATTATTCTACGTTTGAAAATGGAAGAATGTTGGGAAATTAATTCCATTTTATCCAAATTATGGAAATTAGAATTTCGATCAAAAGTGATAGGAATTGACTTTATGAAGATGGAATTAGTGGGACCCATACACATTTATTGTTATTTTATCACTCCACTATGATATTCCTCTCTTTCTCTCTCACTTATATCTCATTTCTCAAGGTAAAAAAATACCAAAGTATTAATTAATTGTTAAAAGTAAAATTCATTTCTATAAATGTGAGAATTATACCAAATACAAAAATTGGAAATGGAATTCCATAAAAGTTAGAATTGGAAATGAAATTCCATTTCCATTTCTTATAGAATTTTAACAGGCTGTAAAAAAATATTTTCCTCCCAATTTTCTTACCTCTAAATCTCCCCTCCCCTCCTAATTTTCCTTCACAACCCCTCCTTTTCCTCCTTTTCTTCGGAAACATAGTGTCAGTGTCCGTCAGAGAGAGTGAGGAGCGAGAACGGTGGCCTGGAGCCGATGACCAAAGCCAATTCCCAACAGCCATTGTTACGAGGTCAACGGTCAGCATGAATCACTCAAATTTTTATTAGATCAGTAGCAATTTAAACCTCTTTCTAAAAAAATGTTAGGAAAAATTTGAGTATTGAGGGAATTATTTAAAGATTTTTGGGATTAAGTAATTAAGGATACAAATTTTCATTATAGATATTAAATTTGAGGAATGTAAACTAAATGGGAATATCTTGATTTATAGGATTAAGGAAGCAAACGGATTAAGAGATTCCACGCCTAAGAAAATAACGAATCGTCACTTGAGATGTGAGTAGTTCAAGAGGTAAATTCTACGCCTTACGTGTTTTAAGTATTTGTTTTATGTGAAATATGTGCAGTGTTTGATTATGTTTATGTCTGATGATGCCACTACGGGAAAAATGGCCTTTGCCAACACTATGTTTGCAACACTTATCAAAAGTGTTGCTTATAATTAACAGTGGCAACACTTCTTTTAAGTGTTACTTAAAATGTACTTTACACAACATAAATCATTCATCACTTGAATTATGTCGCATTTGCTATATTATACGCAACACTTATAACCCAAATAACTTTATGTTGCTTATTCCTCCATTTTAAGCTACATTTAAACTAATAATGTTGGGAAAAGTTAAATACATGACAATTAAATGTAATCTACCAATTAATTAATGCAAAACAATCTAATTGCATATACACGTTGCATACTTTGAAGTTTTAATTTCTTGATGTGCATTTACTAAAAAAAGTTTAATGTAAGCTATAATGAAGACCCTACGTATATGGGCTTCTCCGTCAAACTTATTCTCAATTTTAATTTACCAATAATAAAGGAAGAAAACTCTTCCTGTCCAACTCCAAAAACGAAACGGTGGAACTCATGGGAATAGATATGGCAAGTGAATAAGGCCGAACCCCAATATATCGCGCGCGAACTCTATCTCTGTCCATCACCTAATTCGGCCTCCATTGCCCCCAGAATCAACTGCTTAATTCCACAGAGCAATTTCTTCCTCATCGAATCAGTCTCTCTCCTAGGCTTCTCTTCCAGTTTCGGCTTGAAGAATCTCTCGCACAAAATCCATCTCAAAGGAAGGTTCCCAATTGGATCGTTTAGTCCCGCAAACGATTTGGTCGTGAATCTGGTAAGTTATTCGCCTCTCATCAAATCAGCTTCTCAAACTGCCTAGCAATTACATGTAAAGAACAACAAAATGCTTATTGAACTTCTGCTTCATTGATGTGCACCTACTGTGGTGTCTTGTGGCATTATGTTATGCTTGTTATCTTTTGTAATTATTGTTGACTTAAGGTATTTTCTTCTTTCCTTTTGGTTTTCGCCCAACCCTTGAACCCATTTGAGGATGGATTGGATTTGGGGACGTAGCAACTTGCAACAAGGGTATGTTCTGTTCTACAGAGTTCTCAACTTCTATGCATTACTAATTAAATGACGAGGAAATTGTACGAGCTTAGGAATTTTTTATATACAAGTCTGAACTGCATTAGTAAGACAA